TAGTCTTTTTGGAATGAAGTTTTAAATACAACTATACATGTAAATATCACTTCGTGTGCTCCTTTAGAGCTTAATGTTTCTAATAGAGTTTGGACAAAGACATTTTTTATTACTATTTATGTGTCTTTGGAAGTAAGACATTTATGCATATTTCCAAAGATGAAAAATTCAAACTTGATATGAAAACACGACAATGCATATTCATTGGCTATGAACAAGATGAGTTTGCTTCACGTTTTATGATCTAGTCGAGAAGAAACTTTTAAGAAACGAGAGATGTTGTTTTCATAAAAGATCAAATAATACAAGATATTAAGAAATCATAGATTAAATTGCCTCGAGTTAGTGATGATTTTATTGATTTAAACCTAGTTCTTTCTCCACGTATTCCTACACGAGTTTGAAGAGAGCTAACATACCTTAAATGATTTAGAGAGATCATATATTCTAGAATATTTAAATGTTGATGACACGGTTCATGAACCAATGGTTCCAATCAAAAGATCTATTAGAGATCGACAACCTTTCACTAAATTTTTTTTTCGACACGGGTAAACTAGAGTTGTGTAGAAGTAATTGAAGATGAGTGAAAAAATAAGTGGATTGATGCCATGCAAGATGAAATACGATCGTATGTGAAAATCATACTTTTGAGTTGGTGAAGTTACCTAAAGGCAAACAACTTTAAAGAACAAATGGGTATATAGGTTGAAGCAAAATGAATAAGCTTCTCAACCATTATACAAAGCTAGATTAGTTATCAAAGGATTTAGTCAATGAAAAGATATTGAATTTGGTGATATATTCTCTCCGATTGTGAAAATGTCTTCTATTCAAATAGTTTTAGGCCTAACAATATGCCTAGGCTTAGAGATGGAGCGAGATGAACGTGCAAACGGTCGTTACTATATGGTAACTTAAATGAAAAGATATATATATATATATGGAACAACCAAAGGGTTTTAAGGTGAAAGGAAAAAAGGATTATGTATGCAAGTTGAAAAAGATTACATAAGGCCTAAAGCGAGCACTAAGATGATGGTATAAGAAGTTTATGTCAATTATGGAAGGGCATGTCTATAAAAGGATTACTTGCGGATAATTATGTGCTTGTCCAAAAATTTTATGATGATAACTTTGTTTTTCTCTTATTGTATATTGATGATATGTTGATTATTGATAGAAATGCTTAAATATTTGAGTTACTTATAGAAATAAGTAAATAAAGTCTTTGCCATGAGAGACTTAGGCCTAACGAAGCGATTTTTACATCAAAATCACTCGAGACTAAAATACAAAGAAATTGTTCTTATTATAACAAAAGTACATCAAAAAGGTTCTTCGAAATTTTACATGGATGAAGTGAGAGTGGTTAGCTCTCCTATTGCCACCTACTTTAAATTAAGCACCAAGCAAAGTCCTTCGATATATGAAGAGAAAAAAGACATGAAAAGTGTTTCATATGCCTCGATGGTAGGAAGCTTAATGTATGTCGTGATATGTATAAGACCATACTTGGCATATATAATTGGTGTTGTCGGTTGATTTTTGTTAAATCCAAAACAAGACCATTGGAATCAATAAAATGGATTATGAGGTTTCTTAAAGGAACTTCCGATCTGAAGCTCAATTTTGGGGCCAGGAAACCCGAGTTGGTTAGCTACATGGATTCGATTTGGTGGAGATATGGATACTCGAAAATCCACTTCGAGTTATTTGATTTCTTTTTTCGATAGAATTGTGTTATGAAAGTCAAAGTTACAAAAGTTTGTTACACTTTCTATAATCGAAACTAAATTTATCGCTATAACGAAAACTATTAAAGAGTTGTTATGGATGAATAAGTTTTTAGAAGAACTTGGTTTTGTACAAAAGAGATATGTGTTGTTTTATGACAATCGAGTGCAACTCATTTTGATAAGAACTCCTCATTTCATTCTTGATCAAAACATATCAATATTAGATATCATTAGATAACAAATGCTCTACAGATGAAAAGTTATTGGAGCTTGAGAAAACCCATACGAGACCACGATGGTTACGATATGATGATAAAGACACTATCAAGAAAGAAACTTGAACATTGTCGTTCTATTCGTTGGAATAACGGGTTCCTTCACATCATCATGAAGGGGAGATTTATTGGGTCAAGTCACTCCTTATATGAAGAAAAGCCCAATAATTAGGGCCTAAAACTTAAATAATTAGGTTTGGTTGGTGGTAGAAAAAACTTCAAAGAAAATAAGGGAAAAACGTGAGAGAGAGCAAATAAGAAAATCTAGATTTTTGGAAAGCTACAATAGTTTTGTCAAATTGATGATCATGTACTAATTTGTGATGCGATTGACTCGAAATTTTGATCTGTATACTCTAACTCGTGGTTCTTCAATTTAAACGGCCGGATCGTCAATTGGAACTCATTATATCACTTTTATGGCTATGAACGGTAACTCTGTTTGGGAAGATCTATCCTTACTCGATCTATTTCATAGGTTATTATTCCAACATTGTTATTCTTAACGATAATGTTGATGTATGCCTCTAGATAAAGCTAGATAACAACTTTGTGAACATATTATTTAATTTGTAGTGAAGTTTTTTGTGGATCACGATCCTATAGTTTTTACTCCTCACATCGGAGAGATTTTACATGTTAAAGTTGGGTGGTGGGTTTAAAGAATTCGGTTCTTAAAATTGATCGATGACAAATATGATTCGACGCCGATCTAATTTTAAAAATGATGAGATTAAGATAAGATCTTTATTTGGTGTATAGGCTATTGATGGATTTAAAGAGTTTACTTTTAAAATTGATAAAATATTGAACATAATTTACCACTAACTTAACTCTAAAAGCAATGAATTCAATTTCGATTGATGTGAAAATTAATTTAAAAATATCATACTGCGTAAGGAAAAAAAAACACATGAACTGATAAAACAAAAGTCGTAGCCATTTCACTTATTTGAGACTGCTGGTTTCAAATATTTGTCAGTTTTTTATTGGCTCTAAATTAAAGCGTAGCCTTGAGAAAAGATTTGAAATCTTGCAGATTTGTTCAGACCATTTCCATCTGGCCCTGCTGTGGCAATTCAAACACGAGCTATCTTACTGACAGATCGATGAGCGAAATAACTAATGAGAGTTGTCGTTATCAAGTTGCGAAGACAAAACGATACATGAAGTGTGAGAGGTGTCAATGGTGGGAGAAGACCTTGAGCAAGCACCAAAGGATCCGTGTGAAAGTAATCCTTCCTTCTTTCTCAATTTATATTTATTCCAAAACAATTGTTTTATCAAAATTTTACGTAGTTTATCATAACTGACAATTGTATATATAATTTTCCTAATCAGTATAAAAAAATCAAATAAGATAGTGTCTGAGTAGGGTGGGAGTATCTACTCTGTGGCTGCCCACACGGCTTTGTAGGCCCGCTAACTCCAAAATTTTACACGTTTGGATATCCCTCCAGTTCTGACGTTTGACTCTCTCGCTCTTCATAATCATGACGTACAAAACAACGCCTGTTTCTAGCACTTAGATAACCCGTTTTGCCCCTACCTTATATTCTTGTTGCATAAGGAATTTTGCTCCAATCAAAAGAAATTGCATGCAGTTCTGTAAAAGATAAATAAATAAAACAAGTAGAGTCACTCACGCTCCATTGATGTAGCTGATCTCTCTAGTCAAGTGGCCATTCGGTTTTTGTGGAATCTAATTTCAGTGGGTTGGTTTGTCGGTCGAAACATTTGTTTTTTTTTTTCGTTTTCTAAATTTGAATTTTAAAGTCAATAATTAAAGGATTTTATTGTTATGAATACACTATATGATTGTAGAAAAAAGTTGTTATGATAATAAAATACTGAAAAGGATAGATTTTGACATGTTCCTCGAAGTGTTTGGTTAATAAAAGCATAAAAAATAAAATAAAATAAAAGTCAATATGCTTGGGGATTGGAAGTTATTAGCGAAAAAGAATATGAAGGAAATTTCCTTTCTTTTTAAGTAAATTATAACTTAGTTTTTATAGTTTAACGAAATTAAAGAATATCTTCTCTTTTTTTTTATATTCATTCCTTATATTTTAAAATTTGTTTATAAGTTAGTCTCTTGCCAATTTATGATTTTTTTTTTTGGAAAAAAACAAGGTAAAGAAAAAAGAATTTGATGAAATGCCAAATTTTTTTACCATGGAAAAAAGGTATTTTTTGAAAAAATAATATTAAATTAGAGATGATCAACAAACATCAATTAAATTAAAATATTATTTAGTTATTTCCAATCCAATACAAATTAATTAATTAATTTAGTAAACTACATGAAATAAGTTATAATTAACTTTTCACCACTTCGTTCTACTTTCAACAGTATATATCCTTCATCTTACATCTCTTCTTATATATTTTTCCTAACAAATAAGACTTCAACTTTGAGCCAAACATACCTATTTGAATATTTTAAGAATTAACGATTTACGCATTAAAAGAGAATAAATAATGAAAATCCTTGCATTAATATTTTAACTATTTTTTTTTCCAGCAATAAATACATTACTTTTTGTAAGTTCATTTAGGTAGAAATTTAAACTACCATACATTATCCATAAGCAATTGTTTGCTCATGGATAAAATAGAAGAAACAATACCAAGACGAAATAGAAATGGCAAACAAGTAAAAAGTTTAAGAAAGTGGTCTTTTTCTAAAGCAATTTCTTTATAGGCCGTGTCTTCTCTCCCACCGCTGTCTCTCATTTCAACCTTGAGGCGGCTCTACCTCCGCTGTCTCTCTCTCTCTCTCTGCTCGCTTTTCTTTGGCTCTCTCTAATTAATCCTTCAAACAGAGACTCTATCGATATTTACATTAACAAAGGCTTACGTAAACAAAACACAAAAGAGCCAAGAAATCAAAACCAAAACTAAAACCATCACAACTCTTTTGCTCTCTGTTTTTTTCTTCCCCATTTCTTGTGTGTTTTTGGCAGGGAAAAGGTGAAAGAAAATGGCTTTGAAGCTGAACCAAATAGCCTTCCCATCCACTCACAACCTTCCTTCCCAATCTCGCTGTATTAGATCTCCTCCTAGAGTTCTCATGGCTTCCACTTTGAATTCCATTTCCACCAAGTAAGCCCCCTCCCTTCACTCCCTCTCTCCTTTTCCATTGTCGTTGCATTTGTTAAACGAACCATGGGTTTTCTCTTTTTAATTTTTTATTTGCCAATGTTAATGGGTGTGATTAGAAAAATGACCCTTTTTTTATTGTTTTGATCTGGGCTCTTTCTAGTTTGTGCTAAACGAGCTTAATTTCCCATTTCTAGTCTCATTGCTTCATTTTTAATTTGAATTGCATAGGTCTCCTGAGTTTAACCGATCAAAAGATTGATTATTTATTTGTTTATTTGTTTATTATTATTATTATAAATGAGCTTGTTATTGTTTTGATTTCAAGTTAGATTTCTGTGATTTCATTCATTTTTGGATCCTATATATTATTGTGTGCTGTAAAGGGGCCTCTTTTTGTCCTTTTGTGTGGAGTCGTTCGAGTTTGGTTTTGTCTTTGCAGATAATTTGTACATGTCTCCCTTTTGATTTATTCAAGTCGGTGGATTCTTTCTTCTTTTTTCTTTTTTTTATTTTTTTAAACAATAATTTAATCAATCATGTTGCTACAAATCAAATTTTTACTTGCCTGTTTGATAAAAACATGTTTCTTGAAATTTCTTTGTCAAATTTCTCCTAACATTTTTTAGCTGATTTTTGTTGCTCATTTTATGAGATTGATTTATCATATTGGTTGATTATGTTGTTAACATAGCCTGCATTTCTTGAATGCATGCATCAGCATGGAGCTCTTAATTTATTATAGGATGCTTTTTTGAGCTGGGCATGAATCTAAGTTGGTTTCATTAATAATTATACTCTTTTTTTCGTTCCCTTTTTTTTCAAGGGCATGCAGTGATTCTCTCGTTTTGTAAAACAGTTTTTTTAATTTAGGGGCATGGAATTGTTTATTCAAACTCAGTTAGATATGTAAGAAGAAAAATATTGGCTTATTTTTCGGGCTTTAAAAAAAGAAAATTCTGACATTATGCATGTTTAATATCATTTTCACTATTATATGATACAGCATATGGTAATATTCTAAGGGATTTATATGTGGGCCTTTCTGTTTGTCCTTTATCGTTTTGATTAGTCGCATACATTATTTAATTTTATGTTGTCCCTTGGTTGAGAGTTAGGTCTGATTTTGTGGGTTAACTTATTCCTTTGGAGCTAGGCCAGTTGGTTGACTGGTTTCAATGCCTGTATAATTCTGTATGTTCTTGTTTTCTTCCTCTTTGGTGGTAACAGCTTGCCGTTCTTAACACCCACCCTGGCCCCCCAAATACAACAGTTGTGTTTTGTAATTGTGTCTTCTTAAATAGTTTATATGTGTTGAGATTGATTTAATTGATGTTCGTGATGAATTATGCTATTCTGAGTTTTATGATTTGCTTTTCCTTCTCTGCGATGGGGATTGGAGGACTGTATCCTTGTCTTAAGCTGTTTCATGCTATTGAAGATGGGTCAGATATCATGCTGCAATTTTTATAGTGGACGCTTTGATTTAGTTACATTAGGCATTATGAACAAATAGTTCTTCCTTGTTAGCACACAGATTCCATGCATATTGTCATACAACAGGATTTGGAAATCAAAGTTCAGGGTTGCTTATCTCGTGTAATAAATATCTAGGGGGTTACCATTGAGTTTTCCCATTTGGTTATCAATTGGTAAATGTCTAATCCAAACCAAAATTTCAGTTTTTTAATCATAAAAATTGAACTAAACCATATCATTCCAAAATATAGTTGGAACTGCCAAAAAAGCGAACAAAAAAATAATAATGCTTTGGTTTTTTAATTTATTTTGTACTTGTATAGTCTGTATAATAAGAAAACATTTACAATATGATTTGGTTATTTTAGTTTATCAGGTTTCTTGGAAAAATTGTTGAAATAACCGAATCAAATAAAAGAAATGCTTCTATTGGATTAGAGTTTTCAGTTTCCACCATATTATGCATACACTCTTAATATAATTTGCATAAATGCATCTTTAAATCCTTTTTTTTTTTTCTGCATTGGTTTATTTTGAGCAAAGGATTTTATTTCTGAAGATTGTTAATGCTCTTGACATGGATTTGTACCTTTTTCGTTTAATATCCGTTTAACTTGTTTCTTTGATTGAATATGTTTGTCATGAATTTTGTGTTTAGGTCCTTGTTTGGGTTATTCTTCCACAGATTTGGGTAGTTGGATTGTTGACTTCAATTATTTCTCAATATTGTGGTAGTTGGTTGAGTTTGGTTTTGTTTCTTCTGTGTGTACCTTTTTCCTTAAAATCTTACCTATAAAATGCCCCCCACCCTCCTATTATATATGTATGTATGCTCCAATTGGCTGTTCTATGTGACTTCAGTTTTCCTTGGAGGTTTCATTATCATTGAAATATTTGTTTTTAAAGTATTTAAATATCTTACCTAACCTTAAAGAGAAGATTTGTCACTTATCAATGTATTAGAGATGGTTTCTTGTATACCTATATTTTTAAGGCAGAGCATTGGGCATCATTAGTTTTGAAGAATGCCCGGTACTGCAATGTGCAATTAGGGCTTTGTTTGTTTCATGTAAAATATGCTTTTGTAAAACATTTTTCCATGTTTGGCTCACCTAGGAAAACATGGTCAATGGAAATATTTTACAGCCAAAGGAAAATAAAGCTTGAAACAAGGAAAAACAACTTACAGTTCTCAAGAGACAAAAATATTTTAGGAGACTGTCTCTGTCTTTAAATCATGGACCCTGCAACTTATTAATTCTTATATTTTTCATTTTTAGCATTTATTTTTTCATACATACCAAACAATAAACAATTATTTCATGTTGAGCGTGAATATGTGGATGAAAACCATTTGCAAATTGCAGCACTACCCAATTCTTATGCAATTAAGTGGGGGATGACCTTGGGACACAAAAATTGGATACTTGTACACTGTCAAATTTTTCATGCTATCTACAGATTTGAAACAGTTGGAGTGATCACACTGTATGTGAAGCATTTCAGAGGATAGTTAATATTATCCATGATGTTAGTTTTTGCTATATCCAAGTGTTTGTAACTTTATTTTTTACTGATTGTAGAGAGGTTCAGAATCTAAAGAAGCCCAATTGTCCTCCACGGGAGCTACATGTTCAAGTGACCCATACTATGCCTCCGCAAAAGCTGGAGATTTTCAAATCCTTGGAAAATTGGGCAGAGGATAACCTCTTGGCCCTCCTAAAGCCTGTTGAGAATTGTTGGCAGCCACAAGATTTTCTTCCAGAACCTGAGTCAGATGGATTTTATGAGCAAGTTAAGGAGCTGAGGGAAAGAGCAAGGGAGCTCACTGATGACTATTTTGTTGTGCTGGTAGGAGATATGATTACTGAAGAAGCCCTCCCAACTTACCAGACAATGCTTAACACCCTTGATGGTATTAGGGACGAGACTGGTGCGAGCCTTACTCCTTGGGCAATTTGGACAAGGGCATGGACTGCTGAAGAAAATAGACATGGTGACCTTCTCAACAAGTATCTCTACCTCACTGGAAGAGTAGACATGAAGCATGTTGAGAAAACAATTCAGTATCTTATTGGGTCAGGAATGGTGAGAGATCCCTTCCTTATTTATCTGGCACTGGGAATTGTAATAGAGTTTGCACGCGCGCACACACATTCATCCGCCACACACACACAGCTGCACACCCACCAAAGAAAGAGTAGACAACCTCAAATTTCTACTTTAATCAGAACTTGCATGTTGATTCACCATGCAGATTTTATTTTTACAATTCACTTGCCTTGTGAACCCAAACTTCCTCCTGCCTCCTTTTCTTTAGAAAAGAGGAGGGAATCATAAAATCTTAATAGAATAATCTACTCCAAACTGATATTAAGAATTTGTTTGGTTGTGCAGACTGTAAATTAAGTTTGGTTACTGTTTATATGAGTGTGGCCGTGCAGGTGCTTGGATTACTCAATGTTTTTGGATTTATTTGTTTTAGCTCATATGGATATCCTAATTGAATGGCATTTAGGTCAGATCTTACAACATTTTAATGAAAAAAACTATTTGTTTGCTTGTCATGTCTCAGCTAGGATAGTTAGCCATATGCGCTTGTCCACTACGGATGAGCCGTTGCTTCTTTGTGGAATGACAGTGATTAGATTGATTAAATCTCTTGCCAGGCTTCGCCAGCAATTGTCAATACCAATTTCTTGAAGGATATGATGATCTCCGTTGCTATTATTTTTTATCTAGGGTTGACCTTCCAATCTATGTCATTTTTAAGAGAACGTATATTTGTGCTTTGCAGGATCCTAAAACAGAAAACAACCCCTACCTTGGTTTCATATACACTTCATTTCAAGAGCGTGCTACATTCATCTCACATGGGAACACAGCTAGACTAGCAAAGGAGCGTGGGGATATGAAACTGGCACAAATATGTGGCATCATTGCTGCAGACGAGAAACGCCACGAAATTGCCTACACCAAGATTGTGGAGAAGCTCTTTGAGATTGATCCAGATGCCACCGTCTTGGCATTAGCTGACATGATGAGGAAAAAAATCTCAATGCCAGCTCACATGATGTTTGATGGTCAGGATGATAACCTTTTTGAGAACTACTCAGCTGTTGCCCAGAGGATTGGGGTCTACACTGCCAAGGACTACGCCGATATTCTGGAATTTCTTGTAGGACGATGGAATGTAGAGAAGCTGACAGGCCTTTCTGGCGAGGGACGTAGAGCACAGGATTTTGTTTGTGGATTGCCTCCAAGGATTAGAAGGTTGGAGGAGAGAGCTCAGGCTAGGGTCAAACAAGCATCCAGTGCGCCATTCAGCTGGGTTTTTGGTAGAGAATTGGAACTCTGAGTTCATCATAGAACTACTCTCACTATCACCGTCTCATCTCATTGATTAAGACAAGTAATACATAGTGATTGCCCTGCTTCTCATTTGCTGCCCATTTGATGGCCCTCTCTGTGAAGAGATGAGTTGGTACTGCTGTACGAGTGAAAGCATTGTAGATACATGTTTTCATGCCTGGGTCGCATTAGACCAAGTGAAGACTAGTCAACTGTAGTTTCCTCTGTGTATGTGTGTCTGTGTGTGTGTTCTTTTTTTTTTCCTACTTGGAATATCTGTTATGTATGAGGTGAACCTCCTCCTATCTATAGGAATCTTGAGTGCACTTGTAGTGAGTTTGTTTTTTTTTTTTTTCCTATCCTTATCTTACGTTGGGGATAAGATTAATTATGATCGAAGTGTGAACAACGAAGTTTATTCTTTTCAACAAGTGCAAACTTTGCATGTTGACAGAAAAAAATTTACCAGAAAGCAGCTCGTTTACCACTGGCTTGGCTTGTAGTGTGACTGTTTTAATTCCTTGACATCATGAACTCCTTGATAAAGAACCGAAAGTTATTGATCTGGTGTATGCCTATTTTCCAGAGCCTTTTTTTAACTGCGTTAATAACAGTGGTTGGATGTCTAATTATCCTCTGCTATCTGAAGCTTTTAGAGATCAGTTGCCGTTTTGAAAGTCGAGACGGTAGATATCCACCACTTTGTTCCTTTCTTTGTCTGTACGTCATTAGTAAGCGACGCCAATAATTATGCTTCTGTGTAACTCCATTTTCTTCTAACCTCCTTATTAGTTAGTGGTGTTGAACCATGGGAAGTAATTCATAAAAGATTGCTGCAACTCATGTTCTTCGCTTTTTAACACCAGTATTTTGATAGAGCAAGTTCAAGATCCATACCTTAATCTTCTATGGTACATCCAGCTTCTAGAAATTTATCTTTACCTGGGTGCAGTACTTCCTCTTGTTTCTAGTTGAAGCACTTCATAGATAATCTTTAATTGCGCAAATACACAAAAAGAAAAATTATCTTTAAGAAATACAAATATGCTTGTCGATATGATTGATAGGTTTCCCATTTTGGGGTTAGGTAGGATTGTCCCTCATGTACTCACTTTATTTTATTAATAAATTTTTTCTTGGTATCATAAACTTTTTGATGGTGGATCAAGGAAGTTTTTGGGTATTTTCATTCTCGCCAAAATCAAAGATAGCCAAATCTTTTTACAGTACACAGGAAATGTGAGATATGAGGGGAAAATGATCAAGGAAGCTTTCGTGTATTTTCCATCCAGTCCAAAATCAAAATATAGCGGTGATTTATTTTTATATAATGGGTCCTAACACAGTACAATTTCTAACATATGGATAGAATAACACCAGAGAATAAAAACAATTGATAAAAAAAAAATCAATTTTTATTAGTAAAGAGAATCGGATTGACAACACATCATTCCATCAACCACATAGTACAAAATAAATGAACTTAGCACAATCCACTAATATATATCCATCCATAATTCCATACAAAAACCAATTCAGAAAATATCCAAAAAAGTATAATAGAATTGAATGAACAAATAAAGAATTTCGTGGCAGCAGCACCACAAAGGCCATAACCACGATGACCATGAAATTAACCATCTAACAAAACCAGACCCAGATTTTAGACTTGGAAAGGCCATGGCCAATCCTTCAAGTCCTCATCATGCTGCACCTTAGCACTCCTCCTTATAGCGATATTGCCGCCATTATTAGCATCACCTTCCACGTAAGCATAGTACTTCAAGAAAAATGCAAGAGTTAGCACCACCCACTCCAAGCAAAAGATCACCACACACAACCCCCCGGCAAGCTTCAGTATCACCTCACCATCCTCTTCCCTCACATAAGACTTCAAGTTCCCTAGGAAATCCCCGGTTCTAGTAAAAATCAAAACTGAAACTGACCCTTGAAATATGGCTGTCAACACTGTGGCCACCATATGTGCAGCATACCACCTGTTAGTCCCTGACGAGGCTGCAGCACAGCCTGAAACTGCCCCGACGATGGTCAAGACATGAAGGAGAATGAGAAAGAAGCCGCATATTGAAGGGACTAAGCGAAGCGAAAGGGTTAAGAAGATGCAACTAGAGGCTGCACCTAGCAGAATGTAGTTGCAAAACAAGAAAACCTTGTGAGTATGGTAATGGGATTGAGACACTGAAGAATTGGTGTTGCCTAGAGTGATAGTACTGGCACCCATTTGATGATGTTTTTATCAGAATTGGGGAGACCCTTTTGATGTTTGATGATTTCCAAGTGGTTTTTGCAAGTGACAATGTAAGATCTGTTGATTTTTAGACAGAAAAGAAGGGAAGAAGAGATTGATTTGTTTTGGGTTAATTTGAGTGAGGGAGTGTTAATATAGGGAAGAGGGGTTTTCTGTGTGCAACGGTCATATGGAAATGGGACCGTTGAAGAGGAAACCAAGGACCCCACCCTACTAAACCCCATAACGGATAGTTTTGCTTTTTAACCGCTGTTCACGTCTCTGCAAACACGTGGCCCATGCCCCATGGGATCCAAGGTGGTCTTTTTGGGAATTTTACAAATCGAACGGCCTGGATGGCAGGGACTGATCTGATGGTTCAAATCAAGGGTTAAGAACACTTCTCCAATATTTTTTTTTTAAAGGAAAATCTCGATATTAGAAGGACAGCAACGCTGTCTTGGCAGGAAATGAAAAATGATCTTTGTTGTTTTTTTTTTTTTTTTTTTTTCATAACATAGATAGAAAGCATAAAAATATAAACCGTATATATATATATATATATATATATATTTTGTGAGTGTATGATGAATTTGATTTTCATAAAGTTATACAATCAGTTAAATATCATTTAATGTTTAATTTAATTTGTGAATGATACGTAAAAATCTACAACAATTAGATCATTGGCTTTCGTATAGGATCCATCAATCCAACGGCAAACAGCAGTGATGTTTTTTTCTTTTTAATATAATTTGTGTGTTTTTTTCAAAGCGAACTTCCTTTTTGCGAACAAGAGACATTCATATAATTACCCATCAGAAAAAGACATCGGAATTTTTTAGTTCAGAAAATCTTTTCTTCTTTTTTTATTTCTGGCCAACTTCGTAAAATCTCATAATATAGAAGAAGTTTCAATAAATCACTTATTTCTTTTCAATTATGCTAAAAAAAAAAAAACCGAAAATGACTTGATTTCTAAAAGAAGAGAGAACATTCTACAAGCAACTACCTACTCATCCAAAGATGAGATTCACGTATAAAAGTTAAAAAGCCTACGCAACTAGAAAAATAAAAGGTTAGAAATCCACCCACCGTCCTTAATTAGTGTGCAACCACATTGAGATACAAAAATCCATCATTTCTTAAAAAAAAAAAAATTCGATTGTTGAAATGCGGGTGCTGAAGAGCAAAACTTTTCATAGTTTAATTTATCGAGCCATTTATGAATCTATTTTTACATTATTTTCTTTATTCTCAAGTCTCAGCCAGTATAAGATATGTATTCTTCTCTAAACAATTCTTCCAAAATAGCTCATTGAATTTATTTTTTCTATAAAATATCATTAAGAAATGAGTTATTCTCTAGTAACAAAGAATTCCACCCCCACCACAATACGCTCGAGCCTAAAGCACTTCATTAGTACGTTATAATTGTACGACTACAAAGGCGTGATTTATGATGAATTATTCAGCATATCGAAAACTATATTGTTCTTTTTAACATAAAAATGGAATTCATGAATAATTTTCATGATAGATCTCGTGTTTATGTGAGGTGAGCGAGTATAAATGCTGACATATTTAATGATTGATTCATGTTACCATGTCGATGCTTTAAAATGTTGTTCTCCATTTAATGCCGTTTTCGATGACATGATGTAGCAAAAGGAGGAAACCATTAGATTTTACAAACTAATCATGACAGTCCATGATAAAATAATAAAAATTTTAGTTGTTAGTAAATAATTTTGTGTTTTTGGGATCGGTTTTTGACAACGTTGTCATAAGTCATAACTGTCTAACCATTATTCCTTTCATTTGTATTATCGCTGTCATCAACTTTTTACCAACACAACTATCACTAGAATAATATTAATTAAATATGTTGTATATGTTATCGCCGTCAGTAAATTACTCATGTCTAATCATTTATTTTCGCATTTTTACTAATAAAGGATTCAATTGAAATATTATATGGACGTAAATAAAAATTCAATCTAATTCGTATATTATAATTAATTTTTCTATAACTCAAGGGATATTGAAATTGATTGAACTGGTATTTGATATATTTTTGTTGTTTTTTTTCAAGAATTACACTTAATAAAAAGATATGCAATATACGTCTTAATTTAAATTTCATAACATGATGTTTTATTCGGTTTAAACAAAAATGATTGACAACAAATATATTCGAGAACTCAAGAATTTTGTTGGCAAAAATCAAATTATATCGATTGTTGAAATATATGTGTATATGCGGGATACATGAGGAACTACAATCATGCATAATGAAGATGCATGGGATGCAATACGAAGGAATAAATCAGTGTTGGTTATAACAAACCCGGCACACCAACTGTTTGTTATAATGCTAGAATCAATCTCAACGGTAAGGATTGTACCAGTTGGCAACCATTAGTCGATCCAAGAATCAAGGAAAGTGGCAACTCCTTGTGACTCGGATTAGCTAATGATTGGCGCAAGGAAATAGGAGAAGTTAGGAATTTTGTTTCGTAACTATTCTAAAATGTACAAGTACTAGTATATAAGATAGCCAAAGTAGAATGTACGAGGCATGATTCAAATCATCAATGAGAAGAAAACTTTCTTCCTTGCTTATCTCTTTCTAAATTTGAACATGGTATCGAGCTTATATCTCTCTATTAAACCTTATAAACATGAATACGGAAGAATGAAACATTACCATTGATTTTACTAACCCATTTCATATCCATGCTTCCGATACACCAAACCCGGTGTTGGTTCCAAAAGAATTAGAGCTTAAAGGCATGGAAAATTATGGTGTATGGTCAAGAGCTATGAAGATCTCCCTCGAAGCAAAGAATAAATATAGTTTTGTTGATGAAACTTATGAAAAACCGGATCCAACCTCACCCATGTACTCATACTCGGGTAAGATGCAATGCAATTGTATTTGCTCGGCTCCCGAACACGGTATCACAAGAAATCTACAATGCTATGGTCTACTACAAATCTGCAGAGCTGGTATGGAAGGATCTCGAGGAGAGATTTGACAAGGTCGGTGGCCCTCAAATATTTGCAATTCACGGAGAGATCTCACACATAATGCAAGGTACTTTGTCCGTATCAACCTATTATTCAAAACTCGGAAAACTATGGGATGAGTTTGAGACCTTAGTGACTTTTCCCACTCGTGATTGCCCAAGTTCAAAGCTATACCTAGAACATACACAACACCTCAAAATGTTGCGGTTCTCGATTGGGTTAAATGAAATCTATGCTAATGTAAGATCATAAATACTCATGACGATGCCACCGCTCATACACACCCAAGCCTTTGCCATAGTAAGCAATGAAGAATCTCAAAGATCCATCTCCAATAACATTCAAATTATTGATACACCTGCCGCTTCTATTCTAACAATCAACGGAGACATGACACTATCAACGAAAAAGAGTTTGTTACTTGTGATTACTCGTCATATGCCGTGGCACTTGAAGAAGAATTGTTACAAATTGGTGGGGTATCCAAATACACCAAGAAGGGGTTCGAGCGAGAGGAGGAAGAAGGCCGTATGGCGAGAGGAAATGGTGGAAGAAACTATCAAGCAAACCGATCAAGCTATGGAGTGACAGATTATAATGATCCGGATTCAAAAAAGGAAGATCGAGTAAACCAAACAATTGGAAGTGCATCAAGTATTCACACAACAACAATATAATCGGATCATGCAGTCTACTTGGAACGGAATCGGACATCGTGAAAGGATCCACATCAAGTCAACCCTTAGCAAACGTTGCAGGTATCTTTACTTATCGTGCAAATATAATGAATGGTCAGCTTGAGAAAAGATTGGGTGATTAACGAGTAGAGCTAATGAACACATGTCTTGTGAATTAGATAGTAATGCAATAATTTCGATATAGCTTCAAAACATTTAGAGGTTCAACTGCCAAATGGTAAATCATCCCAAGCAACACATACTAGCACTATACCTATATCCCTTGATTTTAAACTCGAAAAATGTGCTACACATACCCGATTTCAAATTTAACCTATTATCCATCTCAAAATTCATCAAAGAAAACCGAGTGTTTTGTCGCCCTTTACCCCGACTTCGCTTATTTCGGGACCTCAAGACTAGGTTGATAAAGGGGATCGGTAGGATACGAAATGGCCTTTATTACCTAAAGACAGAATCATTATCACATGATCATTCATCACAAATTCTCGAGTCTCGACAGAAACACAAATTCGATTCTAATTGTTCCTTTTCTAATGTCAAGTCTATTTCAAAATCTGTTTTTCAATCAAGCCATAATGCAATTTCTAAGTCAATAAAAGAGAATGTTTGGCACATAAGATTTGGACATGCTAGTAATATTAGACTCAAATTCCTACCGAGCTTAACCGATATATGCAAAAATGCAGAAACACAATGCCCTATCTCGTCCATTAGCTAAACTCACCGGATTACCCTTTCCCACCAAACCAACCAAAACAATCAAGCACATTCGAACTAATTCACCTTGACATTTGGGGACCCTATAGAACACCAACACACAATGAAGCCAAATACTTCCTCATAATTGTTGATGATTACTCAAGAGGAACATGGGTGTTCTTACTAAACTACAAAAGTGATGCAAATGCTACTCGTCAAAACCTTTTTTCACCTTATCGAACACAATTTGCCAAGATCATCAAAAGAATTAGAACCGATAGAGCAAGAGAATTTTTAAATCATGAATGCAAACATTTTTTGGAAGAACAAGGAGTCATTCATGAAAGCACCATACCTTATACACCATAACAAAATGGAAGAGTAGAAAGAAAACACGGACATATACTAGATGTTGCCGGATCTCTTATGTTCCAATCAAATGTGCCAATAGAGTTTTGGGGGGATTGCATTTTGACAACTACATATTTGATAAATAGAATTCCTACTCCACTTTTAAACTATAAAACTCCTTATAAAATGATTTTTGAAAAACCTCCTACAATCGATCACTTGAAAGTTTTTGGAACTCTTTGCTATGTCAAAACCTTGCATAATTCCGATAAATTCAGTCCTAGATCAAAACCCCGTGTCTTTCTTGGGTATCCTTTTGGATAGTCGAGTTATCGAGTCTATGACATAGAATCTAAGATTTTTTCTATGTCCGGAGACATACTTTTCCATGAAAATATATTCTCTTTTAAGTTGAAGCAGGAAAGTTTAGTTCAAAATCAAAACTATTCAAATGATTTTCTATTTGATGATTCAATTGAAAAGTCGAGTTCTCCAATTTTGCCTTATGAATTTACCACTCAATCATCAAACACTTTCAATCATTCCGAAACACAAGCTTCGTCCCCTCATCACAAATTGACTCACATAACCAAATAAACCTTAGAAGATCGGCTAGGATAACCCAACCACCCATCCGGTCAAATGATTATCATTGTCCTACCATCCCTAGAAGCAACTCGATCAACACAACTAAGAAGATCGGCTATCCTATCACAAACTACATCACTTATGAGCACTTAACACCCACATACAAAGCCTACCTCTCAACCTTATCCAACATTACAGAGCCAAACAATTATCATGAGGCTGAAAAGGATCCTAATTGGGTTGAAGCTATGCAGAAAGAAATGCGAGCACTAGAATTTAACGAGACTTGGGATTTAGTGGCACCGCCAAAAGGAAAGAAACCAATAGGGTGCAAGTGGGTGTACAAGGTGAAATGCAATTTAGATGGAAGCATTGAAAGATACAAAGCACGGTTGATTGCCAAAGGATACACTCAAAAGGAGGGAATTGACTATAAAGAGACTTTTTCACCAGTTGCTAAAATGGTGACGAGTAAGATCTATAATTGCCTTATCTGCTATTAAAGGTTGGAGACTCATGCAAATGGATGTAACAAATGTATTTCTACGGGGAGACTTACATGAAGAAGTATACATGAGAGTCCCGGAAGGGTTTGAGATTGAGGGGGAGGAGAAAGTATGCAAGCTACTCAAATCACTATATGGATTGAAACAAGCCGAGTAGACAATGGAATGCTAAGTTCCGTGAGACTATGATGCGAGCGGGATTCCAACAATCGCTCAATGATTATTCTCTCTTTGTGAAGAATAATGGAGAGAGCTCGGTCATCTTACTAGTATATGTAGATGACATTGTTATCACGAGAAATGATGAAGGAGAAATGATAGCATTAAAAATTTTCCTACATAGGAAATTTCACATAAAAGATCTTGGTGACCTAAGATACTTCTTAGGGATAGAGATAGCCGGATCAAAGGAAGGGATATATCTAACATAGAGGAAGTATATTCCGGAGCTACTTGAGGAGACCTGGTATGCTTAATGCAAAGCCTCTAGACACTCCTATAGAACAACATTTGAAACTCACTACAACGAGAATTTGATGAAGGATGTAAGACAAAGATGGAAGATCAAGAGCTTGCGGACTCAACAAGTTATCAAAGACTCGTTGGAAAGCCGATTTATGTGACAATTACTAGACCGGACCTTTCCTACGGTGTATAACTTTTAAGTCGGTTTATGCACGAACCAAAACAATCTCATTTGACAGCAGTCTACGAGTCCTACGATATCTTAAAGGAGATCCGGGAATGGGTTTATTAATGTCATCCACAAGTAAATTGAAGTTAGAGGTGTATTGCGATTCGGATCGGGCATCTTGTCGTATGACTAGAAAATCTATCTCGGGTTTTCTCATCAAATCGGGAGACTTTACCATCTCATGGAAAACTAAAAAGCATAACATTATCTCTAGATCATCGACTGAATCGAATACGAGCCATGGCAAATGCGAGTGTGTGAAGTCATGTGGATTGTAAGACTGTTTGCAGATTTAGGAGAAGAGAAAATGAAGCCAAGAACATTATTTTGTGACAACAAATCAGCCTTATTTATAGCCAACGAATCAAGTTTTCCATGAAAGAACAAAGCACATAGATTTGGATTGTCATTTGGTCGGGGATCGACTTAACAAAGGACTAATTGTCACACAACACATTTCTACGACAGAACAACCAACGAAACCTTCTTACAAAAGGTCTAGGCGGCAAGCAACACGAGCATTTACTAGGCAAGTTTGGGATTCTAAACATATACACCAACCCCAAACTTGAGGGGAGTGTTGAAATATATGTGTATATGCAGGATACATGAGGAACTACAATCATGCCTAATGAAGATGCATGGGATGCAATGCGAAGGAATAAACCGGTGTTGGTTATAACAAACCCGGCGCACCAACTGTTTGTTATAATGCCGAATCAATCTCGGTAGTAAGGATTGTACCAGCTGGCAACCGTTAGTCGATCCAAGAAACAAGGAAAGTGGCAACTCCTTGTGACTCGGATTAGCCAATGATTGGCGTAAGGAAATAGGGGAAGTTAGGAATTTTGTTTCGTAACTATTCTAGAATGTACGGTACTAGTATATAAGAGAGCCAAAGTAGAATGTACGAGGCATGATTCAAATCATCAATGAGAAGAAAACTTTCTTCCTTGCTTATCTCTTTCTAAATTTGAACATCAATAGTCCATATGGAAAGTGAATAAAAATTACTTATCCATGTGGGAGTAAATTATAAATTAATCCTTCTAATTTTGAATAATTAATTAATTAGTTTTTTTTTGTTTTAAAAACTAATTATTTAGTTTTTATATTTTTAAATTTTATTGTAACTTTATTTTTTTTGCCATTTTTAAAATCAATTTTATTTTTTAAGAAATAAAAAAATAAATAAATAATGTAGAATAATTGATGAGAAAATATGATCTTTTTTGGAATAAAATGATATTAAATCAAACGGAATCAACATCAATTAAACCAGTAAATAATTAGTTTTTGACGTAAAAGAACTGATTGATTTATTTTGAAAAAATATAACAACTAATTTATAATTTATTTCTCAACATAGCATATTAGGGAAACTTCCCTGATCAATTGTTCTGTTTTCAACACATGCTGGTGTGTGGCCAGCTTTACATGCAGGTTTCTTTTTGTGTATATATATATATATATGAGAGAGAGAGAGAGAGAGAGAGAGAGAGAGAGAGAGATTTAGATGGTTCATTTCAGTGGTTGCTTTCTTCATTGTTTTGTTTCGTTTTTTAATTGTCTCTTATCACTAACAGCCCTAAATTCTTTATTTCATGCTGTTGATAAAACTTTCTTTACCTTTTTTTCTAAACCCTTATACAATCCCTGGATTCGTTCGCAATCTTGTAATATATTTGGTTTAAGAATATAAAAAATTTTAATTAATTTTTTTTAACTAAAAATCAATGTTTGAGTTTTTTTTTTAAATATTAATTGAAGATAAATTTTGAATATTTTTTCTTTATCATTTTTTGGAGTGGTATTTTCTCTTTAAAAAATATATATTTTTTAATTTTTTAAAAATTTCCAAAAATTTTAATGGATGGGCATTTTAATATTTTTACGAGCACTTGAAATGGTTTTTTGTTTCTGAAAAATTTCATGTTGTTTTGTAAATTACTGTTTTTATTTCTCAAAGATTTTCAAAAATTTTTGCGTGAGCATTTTGAAAAGAAAAGGTTATTTAAAAAAATAGATTTTTTTTAATTATTTTCCAAAAAAAATATTTTAAAAATTTATTAAACCTTTTCGAAAATTTTTATTTTTAAACATGTTCATATTTTACTAGTCATCTTACAATTCAGTGTGATTTAGTCCAATTTAATGAAATTTGATGAATTTTTGTGAATACAAAATAAAATTTGACCAAATTCTTTTATAGGGTCCCGAACTCATTTGCGGAATAGTGCAGACATTAATTAGTTTTTATTTAGAAAACTAATTGTTTAGTAGTTTTTTAATTGGTGTTGATTTTAATTAATTTAATATTTTTTATTTTATAAAATATCTTTTTTTATTAATCTTTCCATTTTTTCTTTTCTAATTCCTTAAAAATTTCATACTAAATTGAAAAATAACAAAAAAATTAAATAATGTTATAAAATAGATATAAATAATAGAAGAATTGAAAGAAAAGGATAACAAGAAAATAAAATCACTATAACGTGAATACAAGTAATAAAAACTTCAAAGTTTCTCTTATTCTTTTTATAAAACTTATATATCAACTAATGAACAATCAAACTTATTTATAGGCTTCAAATTTGAGATGAGAATTGGAAATGACTATGAATAATCAATTGCATCATCCTTTCAATTTTTCATATTGAATGATGAATTGAATCATATTAAGAATCATGTGAGTGAAGATATGAAAAGTAGATGAACATTCATTATTTCATAACAAATAATTAGTTTTTAAAATTAGAAGACTAATTAGTTTGTTTTTCGGAACCAGAGAAACTAATTTATAATTTACTCATTTTTTCTCTTTTACTTTTATTAAATCCTATGGGCCGTACTGAGAGCGATTTTTTTTTTTTTTTTTTGGTTCTGGGATGGGTTTACTACAGCTCCTTTCTTCGTTAGAAGAAAATATTTGGGCTGGATTAAAAATTCAATGGAATGAAAAATACCCAAATGGCTGTTCTTATCTTCACTCTATGCCTTGAAGTTGAAAGATGAGAAGGAAATGCAAGAACTGAGCCAAACAACTTAAACAGAGACTCAAAGACTCATTTAAACTCCTGCTATTCAAAAGAAAATGAAAACTGAACATAGGATACGAACAGAAAAGGAGCAACCATTTTCAACCTTCCTCATTCGACCCCTCTCCTCGGTCTGCATTTCTCAACATCAATGCAGCACGTGGGCAGATAGTTTCAAATCCAGCATCTCCATTAACCTCGGTTGTGTCTCCAGTCCAGTGAGGTAGGCTATATTCCTAGCAATGTCGAGTCTGTTCAATAATTCTCCTTCAGTCACTGTCTTCTTCCTTGGCTTATGAGAATGACCTGATAAGACATATGCATCCATCAAAATCTTTGCTTCTATAATTCTATCTGCCAACATATCCGTGTAAATGATAGCGGGCATCACATGGTTGATTCGTTTCAATACCTTCGTAGCAGGATTCTCATGCTATCACGTTCTCTCTCTCTTTTTTGAGTTTGTAATATCAAGATTAATAAGAAATTAGTGCGTATATATATATTAGATCTCAAGCATTTGGATAAGTTTCAAATATTTATCTTTTTTCTTCTAATTTTTTTTAGGTTTTTTTTTTTTTATTATGGTGATGCCACATAGGATAATGAATTATTTTTATTAGGAATATTAAAATAAATTTAATTGTTGGAGACAATTTTACCTAGGTTAATGGTCGCAAAAGTCCATATATATATTTTTTTTGTTTTTATCGTGTCTTTTTATTTTTTATTTTTATCCCAAGTTCATCATTTTACATTTATTTTATGAAAAATAAACATTGGTTTTGATTTTTTTTATAGGGTTTACATCTGCCAAATTGTGTTTTGTTCACACAAGATTTGATAAAGAACTGATCAAAATAATATTTCCTATCCTATCTGATAGTAGTTTATTTTGTTCATAAAAATAAATTTACTTTCATAATTTGATAGTTCATTATTTTTTATTACATGTAATTAATTACTATATTTCTTTAAGTTTATATATGACAAGGAAAAAATGATTACTGTTTCATTGAACTAAAAGACAATCATAATCGAATAGCTAAGGAAACAAGGCAATTTGCAACATGTTAAGAGTCGATTACGTAAGTTCACTACCAGAGTATGCAAATACAACAAAGAGTTATGAATTGTTTGAATAATTTTTTGGAATGTAAGTTCATTTATAGTCAATTATGGAGAAATATTTTTTTTTGAAAATTTAATATTAGATTGTTTGTCCGCCTCTAAACTTTTTTTTTTTTTAATTACATACAAGCTATTTATTTATTACTATTATTTTTTTGGATTATTCACGGATAATCTGCTAGTTAAAAAATCAAATTATTTATAAAAATATTATTATTAAATACAAACTACCACAATGAAGACAATTATATTAGTTAGATACTTACGTGAAATTGAATTAAATTTTTTTTTAAAAATAGCTATATTTATATGCTCATACAAATATATATATTCCATTCTTCATTTTCTCTATGCTTTTTCTTGTTGTCTCTATTTTTTTAAAATTTTATTTAATACACAATTTAGTGAATATTTCTTTGAAAATTTATATCAACTTATTTTCAAATACAAGTAATGTACAATTTTTTAATTACAAGTAGTGTTTAATATAATAAAATATTATTGTAATCGAATGGTATAATTCTTAAAAAACATGGGAGTAATATTGAAAGAAAAAGAAAAGAGTGGAGTTTTCCATGTGACGGTATTATTCTCCAAAAGACCAGTAAATCATCATTACCATCTGCGCATGTGGCACTGATTTTCTGCATCATCCACCTTCGTGTTTTTGGCAACTGGCCTGGCACTATCAGTTTGTATCACATGCCGCCACGTGTCGATTCTTCAAGGCACGTGGCATTTAAATGATGGACCGGCATCGTAGAATTCACCATAATAATTTCTCGCAATTTACAAATTTGCTACAAATTTACCCCCGAATACTGTACCCTCTTTCGCTTAGTCGGTTTAATCCAAGGACATCCTTATCCTCAGAATCGGACATAACAACAGTCGCATCCAAACGATACGATTCATTTCCACCGTCTTCCATTTTTTGCCCTCTCCTCTCTATTTGTTTTTTCCATCGTCTCCAATATAGCAGCAGCACACTGTAAAAAGAAAAAAACGATGTCGTCTCTAAAGGATTCCTCTGTGGATCCCCAAACCCAGCAGCAGCAACAACAACAACCATACTTTGGTTAGTTCCGACAATTGCTATGTAAATATAATAACTTTTCATGCAATGTTTTTTTTTTCCCGATAATTCTTCAGAGAAGCAGGTTTTTTTATTTAATTATCATATGTTGTTACTACATGTGTACGAGGTTGAACTGGGTTTAATGGATATAAATTAGGGTTTTGTTCTTTTTGGGGTTTTATGTATTGGTCGTTTTTTTTTATTGGTTGCTTTTTTTCTTTCCGAGGATTGCTTAGACACTCAAAAAAGGTTTGTAACTTTATTTATATTTGTGTGTGCAATTGCGTGTGTATATAATGGGTTTTAATTCGTAGGCTTTGATTCTGATTTATGGTTTTAAATTTTGTTGATAATGATGGATTCTGTTATGTTATGGGAAATGTTATGAAGAATTATAGATAGTAAAAGTATTGTGATTTAAAATAGTGGTAATGTTTATGCTTGTATTTGTGTTTTCTTGCGTGAAACTAAAAATAGGTGGAATGGGATGTGGTTGTTTTTCCCTTATAGGTGCAGAAAATGACAACGATGGCAATTACAACACGGCTGTGGAAGTTGGATGGTATATTCTAGGTGAAGATCAACAACAGGTTGGACCTTATGTGTTTTCTGAGCTACGTGGTGAGTTTTGTTCTGTATTCAATTGAATGCTGCTTTTAAGTTATTTAGGTTTCAAAGTATGGAATGATTGTCTTGAAACCTTGTGCCTTTTCATTTTATTTTTTTTTTAAAGTGCATGCTTGAGTTGTTTTGTGAATGAACAAGACTGGAAAAAAAAAAAAGATGTTCGTACTTTCTTTTGTTGTTAGGGTTTCGGTTTTTTATGTATTGATTTTTCATTTGTGGGAGCCTATAATTTACTGGAGAATTTTTGTCTCTGCTTTCTGGAATTTCAGTTCTACCAGTAACCAATAGCAAGGTTTCAGGACAATTGTTCCATCTGTAACATGTTCAATTGGTCTAATGAGCTATTGAACCATCTCCTTTGCTTATTTGCTTCGCCTGGACAGAGCACTTCTTGAATGGGTATCTCTTAGAAAGTACACTTGTATGGTCTGAAGGAAGAAGTGAATGGCAACCATTGTCCTCCATCCCTGAGTTGATGTCAGGAATTTCTCAACCGGGATCTGATTATTCCGCAGCAGGTGATGAATCTCCTTTTCTGTTCTATTTTATACTGTCTGTATGTCTTTGCGTGTATGTTTTGCACTTTTGCATGTTCATAAGCATATTATCATTTCCATCTGCTGAATGAGGGCTCTTAACCTTGGATGTTTCATGCAGCACTCTCTTACAATGATAATGAGGTGAAGTTGCAGGAGGTCAGAGAGGCCCAGTTGGGATCTGTTGGATTCATAAATGGATCTCATTCCAGCAATGAACAGAAAGCCAATCATTCTACTTTAGGTGAAGATTTTTTTCTCCCTTCTTTTCTCTTCTCGCTCCTAGAAAAAAGCTGTCTTATGCTTTGATCTGGTTGCAGTGTCTTCCAATGACGACGACGACGAGTTTGAGAAATGGCAAAGGGAGGTAAAAGAGGCAGAGGCTGAGGCAGAAAGGTTGAAAAATGGATCTCTTTCTGGCAACTCTGGAGCTGATTTTGGGATAGATGATTCTGATAGGATTCTGTCACCACCAGATGGCGAGGATGAATTCACAGATGATGATGGGACTAAATACAAGTGGGATAGAAGCCTTAGAGCCTGGGTTCCTCAGGTTGGTTGTTGTTTTGTGGCTTTTGGAGGTTTTTCTTCATTCTGACATTAGTTCAAGAACTGCTAAAAGTTTTTTTTTGAAATTCTGCATTAGCATTATGTTCCTGGCATTCAGATCCTAACCTTGTTGTTTTTTTTTTTTTTTTTAGAAATTCATATATATATATATTTTGACAAGTAGTCAATGATGACTAAGATTGAGGAGAGCATTGCTAAGGGATATGAAGTGGATAGGGATAGGTTTGGGTTGTGCCATTTGCAATCTGTTGATTATTTCTCATCATTAGTGGTTATGGGGTGAGTTATATCATATTCTATCTAAAGCTTTTCAAGATGATTCATATTCTGATTGTTGATATCAGGATACTAATCAAATGCAATAGTGCTGAATTCTTGGGTTGCGGGCTTGATTAATGACCTAGAAGTGTATCAGATTTCTAGTGCAGGGCAATTGTAGGACAAATTAGATTTTTGTTTGTATCTGAAGAGAGACGGGGTTAGGCTCAAGTGATTTGATTACGTGGGTCTGTAAGAGCAATTGGACATGGAGGATTCCTAGGGAAATACTCTTTGGTGGCCCATTCTATGAAGCCAAGATAACTTTCAATTTCAATAGACTTTAACAAATATCATAAAAAGTTATCACTTATTGCCACCCTAAATTTTGCTGTCTTAAGAAGTTATTCTGTATCATGTGATCAGCACTTCCTGTCCTTGGAAAGGCAGTCTCTAATAGTCATTTCCGTGATCATGCCAAGTAAGAGATCTCTTCTGAAAGTTTTATTGCTATCTTGCTGGATTGCTTGGTGATATTAAGTTTTGTTAATTTTGAGGATATCTTGTTATGGTTTTCTTGCCCCATCTGTTACATCAAAATAGCCTAAAAAATTATCTAGGAATGTATTGAGAAGGTGATGCTACTTTTCTTTCCTCCATTTTTTTTTTACCATTGTTCTATTTGGCCTGATATCATTTTCTTACTTATATGATTGAAATGATGATTATACATTCTTTTGTTCATAATCGAATGATTTTCTAGGATGATCCATCAAGTGTAATTGGGCAATATGGGTTAGAAGAGATGACTTTCCATGAACAAGAGGAGGTGTTTCTGAACGTAAATGCTGCTGATGCCTCTTTGAAGGAAGAAGTCAATGGTACTGGTGGAGTGGTAGAATCACAGCAAAATAACAAGAGGAAATTGCAAGGCGAGCAAGCTGATAAGGAGGAGGAGAAGCAAGCTGATAAGGAGGAGAAGCAAGCTGAGAAGAAGGTATCTTCTTTCATATTTTCTACTGTTATAGAAATATTGAAGATGGAATCTTACCTCTTATCTAGTTACCTTATTCATGCAAGTTAGTTTTAAGCGTGACCGATGGCAGCATTGTAGCCTGCTGTTGCTGTCATCATTATCAGATATTTTCATGGGTTTTTGGGACTGTAAACACAGAATATACAATAAATTAATCACAACAAGAATGAAGGTGCCGCAGGTGTGATTGGTTTTTTGGGATATTTGTTGTTTTAGTTTGGATAGTATGTTTTTGGCTGTTCTTACCTCCTTGTTATGTATTTTGCAGGAAGCCAATAAGGCTCCTGATAGTTGGTTTGAATTGAAAGTCAATACGCATGTTTATGTAACTGGGTTACCCGATGATGCCACTGCTGAAGAAGTAAGTGAGTTGCTGTCTAATTTTGTATTGTTGTTTTATCTTAGCTAGAAACTAATTTGACTAAAACATTGCAGGTGGTAGAGGTATTTTCCAAGTGTGGGATAATTAAAGAGGTATTGTTTGCATTGGTGTATTTTTACAATCTACTCATGATCGAGGTCTTGGGTCACCTTTTTCCTATGATAGTTTTTGTGACTTAGGCCTGGCTCAGCAGCTCAGGAAAGGAAGCATGTTAAATAATCATTAGTTTTTCAATTAAGAAAATGCTTATGAACTTTTTGGTTAGGGTAGCAGAGTATGTTTAACTGTCTCCTATATGATATGAATTCAATAATTCAGTAATCATGTGCTACATACATACACTAGAGATGGAAAAGGGTAAAAAAGAAGAAAGAATTAAGCAAAGGACTAATTTGTTTTGTATATTCGTAAAGGGTTTTTAAAATGCTAGGTGAAGTCATCTCCATGAAGCTAGACCATATGTGGTCTTTTATTTTTACAATCTAATGGTAATATTAAGGCTTTGTTGTTGTTGCTGCCTAATGATAAAATTAGAGAAAATCTGTGCCTATTAAGAGGTAGAAAATACTGATTTTGTTGTACAGCTACCCAATTCTGCAGGTTGAGAAGAGCTGATGCTGCCCATGCATGGTTGCATTTTAATTTTCAGGTCTTCCTAGGGTCCATATTCCATGTATTATTCTGGACATAGCTGAGATGTCACATCTTGCTGTGTCCTAAAATTACACATGATTGTTGACATTTATGTTCCCATCCAATGGCTTCAGAATCATAAGATTAAATTCTTAGGCTGTAATATTGTTTAATGTTTAATGGATCTCACAGAATAATTATTTTCTCACTTTCATTTGCTATCCATTAACAGAAGGTGAAATGGGAATTTTTTTTTAATGGTTCTCTTTTGTGCATTTGCTTCTCAGAGTTGTGATGTTTTTATCTTAAGACAATTTTTTATTTTGAATTGCACATCTAAGGAACCAATTTATGACATTTGTAGGATCCTGAAACAAAAAAGCCTCGTGTGAAGATCTACGTTGACAGAGAGACAGGAAGAATAAAGGGAGATGCACTAGTTACATATTTGAAGGTAATTGCTGTACTTTGTTACTGTACTCGCAACTTGAAAGAGTCAAGATTCTCATCTCTGAGTATATGGGAATTTTGTATGGTAGGAACCCTCAGTTGATTTGGCTATGCAAATTTTGGATGGGAGACCTTTGCGTCTTGGGGGCACAATTCCTATGTCGGTCAGCCGAGCCAAGTTTGAGCAGAAAGGTAACATGTGCGAAGCATGATGTTTCAAATTTCCAGATTGCAATGCCAAGGAGGATTTCTGTGAGCGTTGTTTGCATATAGATTGTTTTATGAATTATATCCATATGCTCTCAAGGATTTTCAATTATTTTAATTGCATCTATTTATTAAAAGCTGTGCACTTCAAGTGAGCCTTATTCATGATAAATGCAGGGGACAGATTTATATCCAAACAAGTAGACAGCAAGAAGAAAAAGAAGCTGAAAAGGGTTGAGGACAAGATACTTGGTTGGGGTAGGTTTTTGTTCAATTTGAGGCATTGAATATGGTTCAGTAAATGTGGCAGATAAGGGTTCTAGTCAAGTTACTTCCTCTTTCTTCTGGAATCAAATAAATATACTCCTATGTTTAATGGCGTTGCCATAAGATCCATGATTTAAACCATTCCTTTGATTAAGAAGTTTTGATCGTAAAAAGGTCAATTCCAGCAATCTTTCTTTGGCTTGTTAAAATTCATGAGGAATTGATGTGGTTTATCCCTTGTACGCATGACAAATACAATTTTGTTCCTTTTTTGTTTATAATTTTTAGAGTTACGGTTGAAACAAAAGGCCGTATTAGGGTAAATCTCGAACAAAGTTTGAGTCGATCTGATGTGGCTGAAGGCTTGAAAATTAGATGCTGTACTTTTATTTACATTTCAAAGTAACTCTTTCAATTTTGTTCCATGAGCGTGCCTAGCTTTTCCTTGAGGTTTGTTTTCTCGAGTTACCTTGCTGTTGCTTTTACAACTGATACCTTGGTGGCTTGCATACGTATGACATCATGTGCTTATATCTTATAGGTGGCCGTGATGATGCCAAGGTCTCAATTCCAGCTACTGTAGTTCTTCGTCAAATGTTCACTCTTTCTGAAATGAGGGTGAGTTTGGAACTATCAATGGTTTGGATGTCACTTCCTGCAAAAGTACTGTTTGTTTAGATATCTTTTATCAGCACCTGCCCAACATTTGTTTGGACGCAGACAAACTGCAATCATTTGTTGAGCAAATAAGGCAGAAGGAAAAGCAAATTATTCTTTTCTGTTATTCACTCTATGTTGAACTTTTATGGTCTTATCCATTTGTTGTTTAAGATTATCCTTGTGTACAAAAAGTTATTAAGAGACAAATGTTTCTCTTGGAGATTTTGCAGAGATATGGTTAACAATTTGACCTGTTGCCATATCCACCATCGCTAATCTGTTTATGATGCATTTCTTGTGTCTACTTTAGCAGTTTATTTTGTTAAGGGTGTTTTTATCTGGGTCCTTAATGTAATCTCCCACCTGTGATTATCTGAGGAGGTTATTATTTTGATGTGGCCAATATGATGACTATGCAATGGTGCAAGTGTTGAAAGTTTAAAGACAATGCACTAGCATGGGGTGAAGTAAACACATTAACCAAAAGTGACCCATCCAGAAATTTTCACACTGAGGAAAAGCACTGGCTCTTGTTCTTAGCATCTGCCTTGCAGCTTCTTATTACAAATGTTATCATCATTAAAACTATTTAAACATGTTACGTTTTTTCTCAACAGAAAGATGCCATCTCATTTCTTTATTTTTAATGGCTAATATCCCTAGGTAGGAATGCTACCTTCTGTTTTTGTATATGAAATCTACTGATTTTTGTACCATGTCATATTTGAATTTCTAATTACAGGCTGATGAAAACTTACGTTCAGAACTTGAGGTAGATGTTAGAGAGGAATGTGTGAAGCTTGGTCCAGTTGATTCCGTCAAGGTAACTGAAATGTTATGGTCAAGATTGTGTATTTCGACAGACCCTGTCACAAATCAAAATAAACAAACTAGTCATGCAGTAGCAAACTCTGGTTTGTGTTTAGTGCTGAATGGTAAATTCTGCATTTTACATGTAATGGTACAGATTTAGTTAATTTCATCAAATTGCATCTATAACTATTTTGACTGACCTTTTATGAACTCCTAGGCATTGAAAATTTTATTTAATTCTGTCTTCGGTAAGTGGGACCAGTTTGTGCAATTTCAAATCTGAATTGCAAATTATTTTCTTCCATTCTTTATAAAAGAATATTTTGCTGTTGTGGCAACAAGAAGTTCAGAAGTCATTATGTTTCTTTTGTTTGATTTTGCTGGGTTGCTTACTGCCTCCATGCAATATCTAAGTACAAAGGTTGAAAATTCTCCTCATTCTTCTTCTTGTATTCCTTTACCGATGCATTGTTAGCCACTTTTGAGTTCCATTACCAAGTTGCTGTTGACTGGTTTTTGTTCATGTTCTGCCCATTTCAATCGATTCCCTACCTTCATACATTCTCTTATGGCTCTGCTTGCAGGTCTGTGAAAATAATCCACATGGTGTTGTTTTAGTGAAATTTAAGGACAGAAAGGATGCTCAAAAGTGCATAGAATTGATGAATGGGCGATGGTAAGTTCTAATTTGTTAATTAGTAGTTACCTCATTTGACTCAGTTGCACATGAGTGAAGAAATTAGTGTCATAGAAATTGAATAGCAGAGTAACAAGTTTGGCATGATGAGTTCTCATTTTTCCTTTTGGATAAGCAGTAATAGTCAGACGTCGATAGCCTTGAAATATCAGCAGCAAAATAGTTGAGGATTAAATTTATATATGCGCGGGAAGGGATCTACTGAGACGTTATTTTTATCATATTGTCATATGTGATGTGATATATTTATGGATCATAAATGGTAAATATCAAGTGTCCATCTATGTAAGTTTTTGAAATTGAAAGTTCATCTAATAAAATCATGAACAATTTGTCACAATATGGAGTGAACACTTTTAGTATCAAACTTGCTTGAAATTTGATTTGCAACGATCTAAAAGGAATAGAGGACTACATCTAATGGTTGGTTTGAGATAAATGGAATTACATAATTAGTGTAAGAGTTCATTCTTAAACATGCATATGTGGATCTCTACTGCATAGAATTTGGTGCTAAAAAATTATGGTTGCTATGCACTGTTTACAATTGAACCAGTGTGCTGCAGCGTGTTGGATGCTTGAACTAGTTCAGTGTTTTTTGTTTGCTTGTAAATATTGTTGGGTGGTGCAAATTGCCATTATCTTCAATATCATACAGTAAGATGATTGTCACATTGTGAATTGGAAACATAGACATTCTGCAGAAATAGTGACGTTGATCAACCCAAGAATGTGGTATCCAATGAAATCAACGTGGATAATGCATTGGCATCTCAATCGTCTTTCCTACGTCTTTCATATTTTCTATTATTTTTTTTGTTATGATTCTTCTTCTTGCCATTTAGGTTTGGTGGAAGACAGATAGATGCTAGTGAGGATGACGGATTAATTAATCATGCTTTGATCCGGGATCTTGGTGAAGATGCTGTTCGATTGGAGCAGTTTGGTGCTGAACTTGAAGCTGATTGACTTAATTTTGATGCAACGGTTAAACAGATTTGTGTTCCTGATGTTAATTTTTTTTTGCCCCAAATATAAGTTAATATCTAGGATACAGATGGTCGATAATCTTGAAAAAGGAGACAAAAAGGGAGCAGCAAAGCTTCTGATGTGAATTCTGCTTGTAAATGATGGCGATTTTTTTTTAAATGGATGCTGTGTGTTCTAAGCTCAACTTTTAAATGGCTTATCTCAGATAAACTAGCAGTTGTTATCTCTGATCGATTATGGTTGTCGTTGGATATTGATGAGAGCTTTGACATGTCGTCATGAGGAACTGGTGCATGAACTAAGTAATGCATTGGCACCAGGACTGTTTCAGACGCTATATGCGGTACAAGAGAAATTATACTATCAAAATAGTTTGGAGGGGAGTTATGCTGTGAGCCATAGTCTCTCTTGACTGAAACACAGCCCCCTCAGTTTCTCAAGAGCAATTGCTTTAAGCAGTCGCAGACGCAGACGCAGACGCAGACGCACAGCGCTTCAGGGAATCCCTAGTAGAAGTTGCTGACCAAATGCAGTCAACAACTAAAGAAACGGACGCTTCGGTAGCCACGCAACCCCCCATAATTATATTTAATGAGCCTATGGCCCAATTGTCATTTTTCTTTTCTTTTTCTTCTTCTTAGGATGTTTCAGATTTTAGGTTATCCTTTTTACAAAAATAAATAAATAAATTTTTGTGTTCGCTTACCATTATCGAATTATATGTAACTCATAATAAATCGACACTTTTAATTAGTAGAAAAGTTGAGTGAAGAAGCCCTAGTGTTCGTGACCATAAAGCTAATCAATTTGCATAATAGAACCAAAATTATTTATCGGCGGATCTGCTAACCCTGCAGGTTAGGCAACGTTGACCTTGGCATCTTTTTTCATCTCTTGTGGTGTGAGAAAAGGTTTTGGAGGCAATAGCCAATAGGTTTAATAACAAATTTTACTTCCATTTTATTAAGATTTGGCAATTTCAAAGTTTTTAGTATTAAATTACGTAATTTGAGTATCAAATTATTGATCAAATTATTGATTTTTGGACAAAATTGATCCAATTTTTCTAATGGTCGTTATATCAATTGATTGTTATATAGAATGCCAAAAAGATGTTGTTTTGACATTCCGTTGTTAATTATGTTTTTCTAAAAAAAACATTTTAAAATTTTTTTAACTCTCTTAATCCTGAATTTTTTTATATAAAAAAAAGTTCTCATAAAATATTATAAACATTTTATAAATTACATAAAAAAATATTTTATAAATATTTTTAACCCCCTAGTTTTGATTTTTTAAAAATTTTTTTATAAAATATTATAAACATTATATAAAAAAATATTATAAAAAAACATAATTAACAATACACATTTTCAAGCCTTTTAAAAAATATTTTATAAATTAAAATGAGCATAATTAATGGTTGACCCTCCTAATTTTATAAATTATATAAAAAAATTTATAATATTTTAAAAAATTTAAAAATTAAGTGGGATTAAAAATTTTATAATATTTTAAAAAAAATTTAAATTAAGTGGGATTAAAAATATTTTTATAATATTTTATTAAAAAAAGTGTAAAAAAAAGTTTAAAATTAGGTGGGGTTAAAAATATTTATAATATTTTATAAGGAAAAAAAATCCAAGATTAGAGGGGTTAAAAATATAATCCTAGTTAAGTACTCTTTGAACATGAAGTGGTATTTGAATATGAAGGGACATCATTCCGGGTAAAAGTCTAAACGAATATTTATTGGGAGGGTGAAGCATTGGGGAATTGCATGGAGAGTTCCAACAAAAGAAGTGGAAGGAAGCGTTATGTCTTGCAGATGATTTATTGATCCATTCTCATTGAATGCATATGAAGACAGTGGCCTAAGACATGTTTAATTTGGCAAGGGGAAATCCATCACATTCTCTCTGCCTCTCTTTTGGACACTGTTTTTATCCCCATTATAGGAGATTTATTTTGAGGTAACCCACCCCCTATTTCACTCAATTCTTTCTCACTGTACTAAGTTGAGCAACGATACAACTAGAAGTGAATCTTAATCTACAAGTAGAAAGACTTTTTGTTCATGGCCATTTATTCATAAACAGGGAGAAGATGTAGGCATTAATTAGACATTCTAAAGGTTCCCTCCCCACCACCACCCCAACCCCCACAAATTGACTTCTACAGCGGTTACAGTGATATCATTATTGGTAAGAGTAATGGAGAACATAATGAGATCATCCTGCGTAGTGTCGTTTTGGAGAGGAGACATGGGAAAGAAAAGGGGTTAACTGCATGAAACGTTTCTTTATTTTTTTAATTTTTTTAATGCAGCTTATTTATTTTTTTTGAAACTAAATAATAAAAAAAAATCGAAAAAATTACAAAATTATCTCTAATCATCTCTTAAAATTTTCTATTCTTTCCTTTTTCAACAATTCTTCCATCAAGAATGAGGATCGATTAGCTTTCTCCGTGAACTCATCTCTTGAAAAATTATTTTATTTTACTATTTTTCTATATTTTATTCAATTAAATTCATTTTTTTTAATCAATAACCATATTTTCAAGAAATTTTCTTCCTTTTTTTTTTTTTCCCTACAACATCCTCTTAAATTAATAACAATTAAAAAAAATCATATGAAAAGCAAACTCAATTTTATCCAAGTCAATAAATCAATGATTTTTATTTTAACAATAATTAAGAACAAAAAGGAAAACGAAAACGAAATGGGCGCGGCAGCTCTCAGGTCGTCGACCTCAGCAGACAGACGACACGTCAGAATCAGTGAAGTTGGTATGCAAAACTTATGGGTTTCTTTTTCTTTTTCTTTTTTAGAAGAAAATCAGAATGCATGAGGAGCCTAAAATTTGAAATTCAGAGAGAAATTTATGCATTTAGAGCAACCCAGAAGCAAATTAGTTGATTTTGAACTTATTTTCGGATTGAATGCAGAAAACCCACAAGACACAAGGCTGAAAGTTTCTTGCTTTCCATGGAAAGAAGCAGATTTCTGAACAAAATTATTGGCTGGTGAGCTTCATCATCCTCTTAAGTATTGCTTCTTTCAAGTTTCTTTCTTTTAACATAGTTAAGCATTTTCTTATTTATTTGTTTGTTTTATTTTGAATACGTAAATGAAAAAGGGAAAAGATTCATGCTTTTTACTGAAAGATGCATCCAATTGGTGGGTTGCACAAAACCCAAGATTTTTTGCGTAGTGACTGTAGGAAAAAGTTTTTTTCAGTAGAATTATCAGCCATGAGAACGCAAGCAATCCCATTCCCACCTGAAATGGCAGCACTTTGTTGCAGATTTAATTAAGCTCAGAATTATTTTATCTTGGTCGGTAGTGGAGTTTAAATAAATGCCAACAAAGCAGAGGACAGTTCTCACCTACAAAAGCTAGTAGCCTCATGAGCAAGACAATAACAACGCAAAAAAAAAAAAAAAAAAAAAGGAGGAGGAGAAGAAGAAGAGGAGGAGGAGGAGGCTGAAGAGACGGTCCAACCCGTCACAAAATCACTATTTCCTGCCAAATAAAAATATAAATACAAAAAAAAAAAACTATTGTGTATATTGTTTTAAAATATTGTTGTACAAATTACGATGAGAAAAATAACAAGTGCATAAATTTGCTGTGGTTCAACTATGCTTACTCCACAAATAGTTTTTTACTAGTTTTTTTACTCGCGCTATGTCGCGAATTGAATAAAATATATAAAATCGTTTAGAAAATTATTTCAGTTTGATTGTCCGTTTTATTGTGTGAATCCATATAAATATATGAAATCAAAGATGTAAAAAATTATTTAATAAAAAATTTTATATTTAACTATTTATTATTTGTGTTTTTCATAATTTTTCCTATATAAAGAGGATTTATCCTTGTTAATCCATTGATTATTAACTAAAAATAAATAAATAATTTTTTTTAAAAAAAGCTTTAGTATTTCATAAGATTGTATCGAAAAGCATAAATAATAATTATTAAAAGCTTACATAGAATTAAACAAATAAATTTTTTATTTAATGTTGATGAGAATATTGATTTTTGAAAAAATATGAATTTAATTTTTATATATTTATTTAAAAAAGAATGAATAATATTAAAATAAAAAACTATATTAATTTGAATCAATGAGTGGTTAAGCAAAAATATTATTTTAATTATTTAATTTAAAATAAGTTAATTTTATAATATTAAAAAAAAAGAAATAAATAGTAAATGCTTAGTGTAGTAGTAGTTGCACATTTGATTTCGAAAACATAACGATTCAATATTTTTTTATACATCATAACTATACTAAGTGAGTTTAGAATTTTAAGTCTAAAACAAAAAATACTATAAAAAGTTAACTTATAAGGAATATATTGACTAAATTCGAAGTTAATAGACTAAAATAAAAATTATATCAAATTTGATTTCAAATAATTTTGATTATATAAAGAAGAAACAAATTACTAAAACATGTGAATTCTTTTCTTTTCTTTTCTTTCTCCTTCTTAAATATTTTTTTATTTCTATGTTATGCATGGCTAATCTTTGAATATAGGCCTCAAACACAGAACAACCATCTTCTTTTTATTTTTCACATTTGACTTTCAACTATTAATTAATTAATTTGAGTTTTTTTCTAAAATAGATCGAGAAAAAAATATTTGAAATACACTTATGATCTAAAAAAGTAATTTAGATAAATTATATATATCAATCATACCACTATAATTTAAAAGCTATCTAAATCTATTTTTCAAAAGAAAAAATAATCGTGTTCTAAAAATTTATTCCAAAATCCATACATATACAAAAATAAATTAAAAATGTTAGTAAATATAATTTTAAATTGATTGGATGAGAATTTAAAAAAAATGACAAATTAAAGTATTAAATTTTAAATAATAAAAATAATTAACAAAAAATACTAAAACAAATGGGACAAAATCACAATATAATCAAAGTTTGAAATTGAAAAAATAATTTTTAAAAATATGACAAATTAATGTAGTAAATTTTAAATGATAAAAAAACCAAGAAAAAATTATTTGAAAAATACTTTTAATCTAAAAATGTATTTCAGACAAATTATATATATTAACTATGCCACTATAATTTAAAAAGTATCTAAATCTATTTTTCAAATAAAATAATAATCATGTTTTAAAGATTTATTACAAAATCAATACATATAGAAAAATAAATAAAAAATGTCAGTAAATATAATTTTAAATTAATTAGATGAGAATTTTAAAAAATTACAAATTAAAATAGTAAATTTTAAATAATAAAAATAATTAACAAAAAGCACTAAAACAAAATGGGACGAAATCACAATATAATCAAAGTTTGAAATTGAAAAAAAAACAGAGAGAACTTAAAAAAAATTACAAATTAATGTACTAAATTTAAATAATATAAAAAATGAAAAACAATTATTTAAAATACATGTTTAATCTAAATATGTATTTTAGACAAATTATATATATTTATTATGCCACTATAATTTAAAAATGATCTAAATCTATTTTTCAAAAGAAAAAACAATCATGTTCTAAAAATTTATGCCAAAATCCAATTTTTTAAAAATTATATATATATTAATCATTTTTAGATTAAATATATATATATATAATCATGCCACTAAAATTTAAAAATGATCTAAATCTATTTTTCAAAAGAAAAAATAATCATGTTCTAAAAATTTATTTCAAAATCCATACATATAGAAAAATAAATTAAAACCGTCAATAAATATAATTTTAAATTAATTGATGAGAATTTAAAAAATGAAAACTTAAAGTATTAAATTTTAAATACTAAAAATAATTAACAAAAAATATTAAAATAAAATGGGACCAAATTAAAATATAATTAAAGTTTGAAATTGAAAAAAAAAAAGAAGAGAATTTAAAAAAAATGACAAATTAAAATAGTACATTTTAACTAATAAAAATAATTAAAAAATTAAAGTTTGAAATTGAAAAAAAGAAAAAGAGAATTTAAAAAAATGATAAATTAAAATAGTAAATTTTAAATAATAAAAATAATTAATAGAAAACACTAAAACAAAATGTGACCTAAGCACAATACAATTAAAGTTTGAAATTGAAAAAAAAGTTTAGAAAATTTGAGGACCAAAGTGTTAAAAAATGACATAAACAATGAAAAGAATAATAATTTATGAGTGTGTAAATAGTGATTTGTAAGTGTGTAAATAGTGTTTCAAATAGTGAAATAAATAGTAAAATTATGTTTTACTTTAGTTTGTTTTGTAATTATCAAATAAAATATTATAATCACTAATAAATCTCACTCAAATAAAATTAGTCACGTCCTAAATCCAATTTAACGCCTATAATAATTTTGTTCAACTTATCAAACAATTATTTTATTTAAAAATTTAAATCAATAGATCAGACTCTAAATTATAATTTTATTTTAATTTTTAAACTTTAAAGTAAAAATCTATTGAGTATCGTGTTGAAATATTCTAAGTACAAGATAAAGATATTGGGATTTGAATTATTCGTTACTTAGTTAGAAGGTTTTGATTCAATATCCCACAAATGCTAAACCCCAAAGTTTAAGGTATTAGGAGATAAACCTCCAAAATCACTCCTTTGCTATGGCATGCTAAGAACTATCTTCGTTTTCAACAAAAGGAGATCGATGAAATTGGTGCCTAAAAAATTGCCATTTCAACTCTGTTTCGATATGATCCTGTCAATAACATGAAAAATATCTTTAGTGTTCAGTTAATTTTGTAATCAAAGAGACATTCCAGTGTGATTGAGGTGAACGTTGATGCTGCTACAAGCTCTGATATTAGTGGGCTCAGTGTCAATAATACCACAAATCATTTCGTTCAAGTTTTATTTTCGGCTTACAAGCGTCTGGAAGGAAGGACAGTACCTTATTGCCATTGGTGAAGCTTCTGCCGTTTTCTATGGCGTCTAGCTTGCTAAAAAATTATACCCCTCGAAATCTTGCCTAGAATCGAACTGATACCCTCATTCAACAGTTCAGCATTGTTGAAGAAGATGATTTCTAGATGTTTGTCCTCCTTTATTCTGGATATTTCATTTTCAGTCTTTTTCTTCCAACCTTGTCAAACACTTGAATAATATGACTGCTCATAAATTAGCTAATTACTTAACAAGGTTTAACGCTAATGAGCATGTCTTTACGTAAGATTTTTCTCTTTTTTAAGAGATGCAATCTTTTTTCTTTTTCTTTTTTCTCTTGATACTTCAATGAAAACGTGCTTCACCGAAAAAAGAAAAAAAACATCAATTAATTAAAAGCTAAGCAAATCAAAACCAAATTTGCATCATTGACCAAATTGATTCGAAGAATCTAAGCTGTTAGGTGGATCTATTGAACTCGTTGGCTTAGCTGTGTTAGGATCGTGTCATCTTCTTTTTATGCATTAAAGACTTCATTTCAGTCACTTAAGCTTTTAAATTAATTAAAAAATTTTAAATAGATTTTATAGGTTTCCCCACGGCATCACATGGTATTATTCCAATATATATTAAAATACTCAAAAGTGTCATCACATGGTATTATTCCAATATGTATTAAAATACCCAAAAGTGTCATAAACTTCATATACGCACACACATTCATTCCTCAGCCTATGTCAATATTGTCGGCAACAATTTATACCTGGGTTCTTACATGACCCACCCACGCATTCTTATACGTGATTAGGAACAACTCTTGCTTTTTGTTTTGGTTTTTGGGAGGCGTGGGTGTGTGTTTATATGGATTTTATAATACACTAGTGAGTAACTAGTATCATATACATTAGTTATTTCATGAATCTAGTTTGAGAAGAGAGATAGATACAAAAAATAATAATAAAATTATATTCATGTCCACCAAAAGTAATAAGAAGATTTTCAGTATCTGCTCAAATTTTTTTATTTTCTCTCCTATTTTTTTTATATCTATTTTTCTTTTTAAAATGGATCAATAAAGTAATTATCAGTACGTACTATTAGATTACTCATTATATATTATAAAATTAGTCGTGTGTTTCTGCTTTTTGTTGCATTTTTCTTCAGTAGTTAAACACGTGGAAATTTTGAAGTGGTAGATTGTGATTGAAAAGGATGGGGCATTATTATTATTTTGTATCCCTAACTTAAACGACAAAACATCTTACCTCAAGTATTAATTATGGGCTACAAGTGTCAGATATCTAATCAATTTTAGTTCATTTAAAAATTTAATTCTGAAATTTTTGACTAAATTTGTGTTTTTTTGTAAGGATTTAGTCTATATTATGATTTTTAGCTATCATGTTTTTTTTAAAAATAACTAATTCTTAATATTTTGATTTGAAGTTTAATAGATATGTTTAAAAAAAATCAATCTATTTTTTTAATATATATATATATATTTTTCACAATAAAAAATTATATTTATTTTTAACATAAAATATAAACAAGTTAGAAAATATAAAAAAATTTAGAATGATCCAAGATTTTTTTGAAAATCTTCAAATAAATATCATTGAATGATTTTTATCATAGAATTATTTTATAAATAATAGAAAACTAAAGAATAGATTAAATCTAAAAGATAAAAAGATAAAAATTACAAATTAAAAATTCAGATTTTCAAATAGATTAAAATTAAGAAGACATTTGTTTCTTTTAGCTTGAATTATGCGCTTATCCAATCTATAGGTGAGAACTAGTAAAATTTTGTAACCATATAGAATCATTAACGATTCCTTTGTTTGATAGAAAACAACTTTCAATAAAAAAATCAATTCTAAAGAAATTATCTTTTCAAAAAAATATTTTTTGACGTTTGACAATTACATAAAAAAATTATTGAAAAATATATTCCAACGTTTGTTTAATACGTAAAACTGAAAATATAAAAACAAGTTGTGATTGTTACATCAATAAGTTTTAAGGAAACTTTAACAACGTATATTCACAATTTCACAATATAAGATGCATTTTAAAAAATTTTAAAAAATTTTTATAAATACCAACTCTAAGATTTAAATTCAAAATGTCAAAAAATAAAATATATATTTTTAACCATCAAACCAATTCATCAAACCTACTTGGGATAAAAATCAAGTCAATATTCACATATAGTAAAAAAAAATTCTAAATAATCCTAGCATTGTTATTTTGGTAATTCAATTAAGATTTTTTTTTTTTTTGAAATTGAACCGATAATTTAGTATAAAAATTAGTTTTACAAATTATTAGTTATCATTTGTACATAATTATTCATTTGGTTTCAAAAGATTAATATTGGAATAATTTGTTGGTAATTGTAATTTGTAACTAATTATTGACTATAATTACCAACAAAATTTTATAACCGATTAAAATTAATCATAAATTATTGATTTAGTTGCAAATGAATAGTGTTAAAAAAATAATATATTTATTAATGAATTATTTAGTTTTAATTTTTTTTACAAATGATTACGAGTCTTGTAATAATCATTTTTAATTATTTAAGTATAGTTTAAGTAGTGTTTGAGATAATGATAAAAAAAAAGATAAATTATTGAAAGATTTATTATAAAAATAATTTTAAGGTGTAACATTTGTTTTTAAAAATATTTAATTTATTTATAAATCAAAAAATCAAATATTAGTAGAAATAGAGAAAAAATAATTAAATAATTAATAATAATTGAGAAAAAATAATTAAAAATTAATTTGATATATTTTAAATAGAAAGGAGATAGAGAAAAAAATTATCAAAAAAATATATCGAGGGAGAGAGATGAATAACACGAGAGTGAGACAGCTTCGTGAGAGAAAGGACAAATATTTTTCTATTTTAAACTTGAAAAATACTTTCTCAAAAATACTCTATCATTTTTCGTTGATTGAAAATTATTTTTTATTGATTTTTTTCTAAATACAAAATAAACATCAAAAAATGAGATAAAAATGAAAAAAACAAGTTTTTGAAATTTATTTTACTCCAAACAAACACAGCCTAATAGTCATTAGATTCTACGACTCTTCTCTATGTTTACTATCAGTACCGATTAATAAAAAATCTTAACGTTCATAGCACTGCTATGCACAACCTAATCCAATATTTGCTAGCTTAGCAGTTCAGTAGTCACATATCTCCTATGCTCCTTTGTGCTCACTTGTTATCTGTCACAACTTTTAGAACTTCGCTTTCCAGTTACTGTCTTCTTTTTGAATAAAATTTTCTTTATCTGAGATTTGATTTGATTTGCATGTTAAGGATGCATAGTGAACAAACTGTGCAATGGAATTATGAGCAGCAGTACTCATGGAGGAAATAAGAAAAGAATAGCCCAGAATTTAATTTAGGTGGTAACCGGCTTAGCAATTAAGAAGTCACTCGTCATGATTTTGATCCAATAATACATGGTGAAATTAAATTAAAGTATAAATGAAAAAGACGCCAATCATCTGCCAACAACCTACTCTGGTCCACTACCACCCCAGGACAAAGCCTCAACAGCTAAACAGCCACCCTTCTGTCTCTGATCCTCTCTCCCCTGTATATACACTCTTTAAGTAGTTACTAGTTAGTTCCCACGTTGTTCTTTACGTCAACAAGAAGAAGAAGTAGAAATGGCAAAGAAAGAGGAGTTCTTGAAGGAACATGAATATTTGTACGAGAAAGAAGTCTCCCGCTCTGACTTCCCTCCTGATTTTCTCTTTGGAGTTGCCACTTCGGCTTATCAGGTGCTCCCTTTTTACGTCAATGCATTTACGTTTATGTGCGTCTGTATTGCTGTTAATTGGTGGCAAATTCTGATCTGGCTCGTTTCCCAGTTGTGATTGTGGAGATCATGTCTGGTTCACTGTTCATTTTGGGGTGTTTGATTTTATTTTGTGGATGATTGTTCTGTGCTCTTATTCATCAAATAATAATAATTAATATAAAAAGATTCTTTTGTGCTCTCTCCAAAAGTACTTACGTTTTTGTCACTGTTGCTTCTTATTCTTTGAATTCATGCCTACCTTGCGCTAGTTCTTGACAATCAAGCGGGGAATTTTTTCGGGGCTTTTTCTTAATTTTTGTTGGGATTTTCCTTTTTCACAAGGAGGCTTGAAACTGAATTTATTAAGGTACAGGGATGAGTCGGATGACAGCATGCCCATTGAGCTAAAAGCCCATTGGCTGCCACTTTGTACTTGAAAGAGTCTGGTTGATACATTTTGTCGTTCTTTTATATATGTGATGCATAAGCTTTTGTTTTCTCCAACATGATCGATGAGTTTAATTGATTAAAACGTTGCTTTGTTTGCATTCTGAAAATCAGAGATTTTCTCTGCCTTCTCCCCTCTCTCTTGCTCATAAAGGGATCAGCTAACTCCATTTCTATTGATAAATGGCTCTGATCCCTAGTGGATCTGAGTTCTTGATGTCCCAAATGCCTTGGAACTTAGATAGTTATAGGTTCATGTTGTGGTGTATTGGTTTATGAAAAACTTGCACTCTTTGAATTAAGCTCCTTGTTGCTTGCTTATAGATTGAAGGAGCCAGCAATGAAGGTGGCAGGGGTCCTTGTATATGGGATGCTTTTGCGCAGTCTAAGGGTAACATTTTTTAAACTAAATAAATAGGTAGATTATTTTAGGTATTGATTGCAAGCTTATAGGGAACTGCCTTCCCATGGTGTTATTTTCAAGTGTAGTCTTTACCTTGATTATAGTACTCACTATTTTTACTATTGTTTTATCAGGAAATATACTTGATGGAAGCAATGGTGATGTTGCAGTGGATCATTATAATCGATACAAGGTCAGCATCCATGAAATTAGCTACAAGTGGCTTGCATGTTCTTTTATTTCTTTATTGTCTCTCTGACATTGACTAACGTGGCATGAAGCATGCTGGATAGTGTTTCTTTATTGCTTCTCTGACAACTTGTTAGCTTTAGCAATAACCACTCTGTGGCATTCTTCATGACCTCTCAGCAAATTCTAGTTAACCATAGATGATGTTATTGATGTTCTATATACCTAGAATTCATGTTTTTATATATATAAACTGTTAGAGATACTTCTTCACACCTCCTTATGTCATTAATGATATACAGGAAGATATTGAGATCATAGCCAAACTGGGGTTTGATGCTTATCGATTTTCCATTTCGTGGTCTCGAATCTTCCCTGGTATGTGCTTCCTTGAAGAATTCAGTTTTAACCATTTAGGTCTCTGCATCGTTAGCAATGGAAATAACTACTGTGATAATATTTGTGAAGTCCTTCTTGTAATAGTCTGTTGATATATTAACCTTTCTTTACTCGCTTCATAAAAATAAACCTGGTTGAATGAACCAAGTTGCTCTTCACCTGACTTTTGATACATGAAACTGTGACCCACAACCTTAGCATGATATTTGAAGCAGACTGCCTTTCCTGCTTCAGTAGGTGAACTATGTGTTTATTAGTGTGAGTGTACTAATTCACCATTATTCCTTACATAAGCTTAGCAAAGAGATGACGGGTGCAATATTAGTTTTAAAATTTTCTTTTTGGTTTTCAAGGAGATCCAGTTTTAACCTATTTTAGTTTTGTTTTTCCTTTTTCCATTTTAAAATTTATTTTCCTGCTGATGCAGTTTCACATTTTGTAGTTTACCCCCTTCCTTAGATGATTTAAATTCCCAATGTCTTCCATATGTAGTGATATTTTCAGCTCCCATAAAGCTTTTCATTTATTCTTTTATATATATATATATATATGCTGGCAGATGGTTTGGGAACCAAAGTCAATGATGAAGGGATTGCTTTCTACAATAACGTCATTAATGCTCTTCTTGAAAAGGGTATGAACAATGAAGTTGATTTTTCTTAATTACTGTCTTGTTGCATCATTAATTCTAATGTAACTCTTTGTGCAGGTATTCAGCCATATGTAACTTTGTACCATTGGGACCTTCCCCTGCATCTTCAGGAGTCAATAGAAGGGTGGTTACATAAAGATATTGTGTAAGTAGTGCTGTCATCTATATAAATCAATTATTAGTGCAACTATGTTCAAGCATATACTTTTCACCAACGACAATTGAACAACTATTATGTGACTGCTAAATATGGTAAACAATGCTCACATTCACTTATTAACATGAATTCTTTTATGATGACCTCGGCTTTCCCCTTTTTTCTCTATTTGAGGCTAGCTTATTAATGAGAAAAGGAAAAGTGGTGATTTCCTTCGGTGCTTCTCCTACAGTGCTGTATCTGTTGCAACTAATGTCACCGCAACTTCTTGCACTTGTGTGTTAAAAATACAATTTTAAGAAAGATGGTTGAGCCACAGAAGCTTGATTGATCCTCATTTGTCCTGGAGAAGGGAGTGTGAAGAATCCCTTATTTGCAAAGAAGGCTATAAGTCGACTACATGGTCAATGCTAAAATCATTTTTCAGAAGATGCTTAATTTCATGCAGTGTTCTTTTTGGTCTCCACATTTTCTTTTTGCTTTGAACAAAAGTATCCCTTATGCTGAATCTGAAAGGAGGCTATAAAAGACTGCGCTTTAGAAGGCTTCATGTGATTTAAACATGCACAATATTCAGATCTAAGGATTGTCTTTTTCTTGTTGGGCAGACAGGGAACGGAGAAGTAGTACAAATATAACATGAAATAAAGAAAAATTACCAGGTAACAAAAGATAGATGGGAAGAAGCAAAAGTATAGAAGGAAGAATTCCAATCCTTTCATCATATCACAGACAAAATTCTCCTGACTACCAAACACGAGAAAAATACATCTTTTGAATATCCTAAAGTAACCAAACTACCAACAAGATGAGATTATTCCATTACCTTTGTGATCCAGACTGTGAGATGTCCCTTTCCAAGGATTTTGGGTGAGTTACAGGGGCCTTTTTAACTCATTAGAATTTGAGCTCGGAACCTGTTCACTTTTCTACATGGTATATATATGTGTGAGATTGTCTTAAAGTGATTGCAGTTTCTCATTGACCAGGAAATCTGATGTATAGTAGCTGCCCTTTAAAATCTGTGTGAGTTATGCTGTACAATAGCTGAAAAATGATAAGTAAACAGTATGTGTAAGTTATGCCCTTCAGTATAAGAAACATAATAAATTACAAAACATTTGCATCATTCATGTGACTTCAGTAGCAACTTTTTAATTTTGTTTTCATTTTTTTTGAAAAAAAATTTATGGACTAATGTATCAATTATTGGAAGAGTTTACTTAGCTTTTTCACTAATGATCCGTGTGGCCTTTTTCTTTGCAAACATCCAGAAAATATTTTGCAATCTATGCAGATACCTGCTTTGCAAGTTTTGGTGATAGAGTTAAGCATTGGATCACTCTTAATGAGCCTCTCCAAACAGCAATCAATGGTCATGACACTGGGATTTTTGCACCTGGAAGACATGAACAATCATCAACAGAACCGTATTTGGCTTCACACCACCAGATCTTGGCCCATGCAGCTGCTGTTTCCATATACCGAAGCAAGTACCAGGTACGATGCAAATTATTTCCTGGTTGAACTAATCATTTTATCTTCTAGTATAAATAACTTTTCAGCTATGGTCTTTTTATCTTTATTGCTTATTGCATTCTTTTGTATTATCCAAAATGTTCTTGAACTAATTGCAGTATTTAAAACAGTGTTAGTTTACATAATGAACCTAGTGTGTCTGTGTGTACCATTTATCAAATCAAATCTGTCATATTCAGTTTCATTAAAAGTTTCTCAAGGTCATTTTCGAAAGTAATAGGATGAAATTTTCTTATTTGTGTCCACTCTTTTTTCTCCACTAAGCTTGAAGTGTTATTAGATGTTCAAACGGTAATTTTTCCTTTTTTATCGTCCAAGGAAATAGCAATAGGTGAAACTGCTTAATCCTTTCATTAAAGATGCTGGACATTGGCCACTTCTAGACTCTTATTAATGTTGTCAAGGAAGGTTCTTGTTCGTCACAGGCATTTGTACTGCCTCAGCAGTTGACAAATGAACTTGTTAAGAAGAAAGAATTTGTTAGAATTTATATGTCAATCACTTTTATGTTTTTTAAATCATTCAAAGCTTAACATATTGCTGCTGCTGATATCCTTATTCAGGACAAGCAAGGAGGACAGATAGGCATGGTGGTCGACTGTGAGTGGGCAGAAGCTAGCTCAAACAAAATAGAAGATAAAATTGCAACAGTTAGACGCCTCGAATTTCAGCTTGGATGGTATCTCCTTGCACTTTTTTCAGTTGAAAAATGAGTTCTGCTAGACTTATACTAATGCATATGAATGATTGCATTGAGAGGTGGGGGGCTACAAATCGAAGGGAGGTGATATGTCTAAAGTTAAGGAGCTGTCAAAAATTATTATCCAACCTCTTTTATTATGCCAAAATTAAACCCCAAACAGTTGTTTTTCTGTGAAGAGTATCTAACTCAACAGGTTTTATACCATGCGAATATAGTCATGTCCACTTGTTTAATGATTATCCCGAATTGGTTCATTCATGCCCAGATGCTTGCAAAACTATTGTACATTTTGGAATCTTTAGTGACTTCTCCTTAGCACTATTTGCCTGGGTGCTGTTTCCAATAGGTACTTGAATCCATTATATTACGGAGACTATCCGGAAGTTATGCATGAAATACTTGGAGAACGGCTCCCAAAGTTCACAGAGGAAGATAAGGAGTTGCTTAGAAACTCAATCGACTTTGTAGGTCTAAATCACTATACTTCAAGGTTCATAAGTCATGCAACAGAGAGCCCTGAAGGAGCCTATTACTATAAAGCACAATCTATGGAGAGGAGAGGTAAATTACCATTACTGCAGCTTATTTCCAACTTTTTCATTCTTAATTTTCTCATTTTCTACTGCATTTGGCTTTCGTCAGCTGAATTTGAAGGAGGTGAGCCAATTGGTGAGAAGGTATGACACTCTCTCGTTTGCTCGCATGTATGCACATGTTTGCGCTCAGAAACATTTTCACATGTCTAATATCCTTTCTTCCAGTCTAATGATGAGATTTTGTTTTCTTCTTATGACAGGCAGCATCAGATTGGCTTTATGTTTGTCCTTGGGGACTCCGGAAGGTTCTCAATTACATAGCTCAGAAATACAAAAACCCCCCAATATATGTTACCGAGAATGGTATGTTCTTACACTTACCTGTCAAATTAGAATTTTGTAGTGTCAGTAATGTCTTTTGTTATTTTCACACTTACAAATATGTTGCTGCTTTCTTTTTTGTGTTTGGCAACTCCAACTTCAAATCTTATTTGAGTTGGATATAGGATTGCAGGTCACCGGTCAGAGAACTTTCTTTGTGCATTGTTACCTGCAATTTTTCAAATTTGAGTCTTTTAATCAGCATCAATACTCTCTAGGACCTCACTGTACTTGTTTTGACAGGTATGGATGATGAAGACGTCGATGCGCCACTTCATGAAGTTCTAGATGACAAGCTGAGAGTTCGCTATTTTAAAGGATACCTTGCTTCAGTTGCTCAGGCAATCAAGTGAGTTACCTACTAACTATTATGTCATAGACCTGAGTGTATTGATGTGTTTTCATATTTTGGCCACATTTTGGAGAAGACTGATAACCAATACCTAGTTATGTATATGTGGGAGTTTGTTTTTGCATTTTCCATTCATGTTATTAAATCAAAATCCTAATGAGTATCATACTGAATAATTTGTCAATAATGTCTGCAAAGAAGGAATAATCAGTCTTGTTTACAAACTGCACGAACAGGGATGGAGCACAGGTGAAGGGATATTTTGCATGGTCGTTAGTGGACAACTTTGAGTGGGCTCATGGCTATACCAAGCGTTTCGGTCTGGTCTATGTGGATTACAAGAACGGCCTCTCTCGGCACCCAAAATCTTCTGCTTATTGGTTCCTGCGGTTCTTAAAAGGTGTTGAAGCGAAAAACGGGAAAGAAGAGTGATGGACTTGCATTTGTACTGCTGGGCGAAAATAAAGTCCTCACTTTTAAGCCAGCATCAGTTGAGCTGCTAAACATTATTATTGAATTAGCTAGCCTGATACAATCCTGGGTAGTCGACTATTATTTCCACGAAGAAGGGACTCGTTAATCCTTCCTTTTGTCAGTTTGTGCTTGTTCTATGTCTGAAAATGCATCATTTGTTTGGTTTATCAGATGCATTATCTTATGGCTAATTGGTTATGGTTAGCTCTGTGTTTGCTCTTTCCTGCTATGCAATGGATGGACTTCTGTGCAGCAAAAAACAATTATTTCTGTAGATTTAACAAAACATAATCTTAAACACAAATCTGCTTATTTATTTTCGATTAAGTTTTACATGTACAGCAGTGATGTATTCATTGCTATTTCATTTCTATTTCTCTTTTTTCTTTTTTTTTTTTTAAAAAAGAAGGAAATCGTGGTGGTCTTTTTTTCCTTTTTTAAAAAATGATAAAAAACGTATGTCATTTTTAGGATTATAAGTTGGATTAATTTGTTACAAGCTAATTTGAGAATATAACTGGCAACGAAAGAAAGAGGGGATAGTTTGTTGTCCTTTGAATGATTCTTTCTTTTTTTCAAAAATAGAAGTTAGAAGTTGGAAAAGGTAATGAGAATTCTCATAACCAAATCGACCCTTAGGTGATAACATTTATGCCATTTATTTATTTTATATTCTTAAAACAACATTTAAGCTAATTCATTAATGAATTATCATACAGAAAAATGCAAATAAAACTTTTTTAACTACCTCAAACATTTAAGCTAAAAATTAGCAATCAAAAGATAACTGATGTTCCATTTAAAAAAAATTAAATTACAACTAATTTCATATTATTTAAAAGATTTTGTTTTTTGTTTTTTTTTTTTGGCATAAAACACCGGTCTAATAGATAATTATTTATTTATTGTAAAAATAAAACATTGAGTCTTTGGATTCAAAAAATAAAAACAAAGATAAATCTTAACTTTTGGTTTCAACTTAATGGTTTTTTAGATAATTTTAAGGCTAAACAAATAAAAAAAAAAAGTATTTTAGTTTTTTAAATAATATAAAATTAGTTGTAATTTTTTTTAAAAAAAATCTAAAAACATGGAACATGAGTTGTTTTTTATTTTCTGTTCTTTTTCTTGAATGTTAAAAATAGTTAAAAAAAATTGACGTGAATATTTTTACTGAATAAATATTTAAACGATTGTTAAAAAAAATATTATAGCATTCCTCTTATCATATATGCAAGCATTAGGTGTGTAGCGAAAGTAGATAAACTAAATAGCATATTGATTTTTTCATAGAGATTTGGAAAACGATTCTTAAAATAAATGACCACAAGGTTGCATTAAATTACCACTACTATCCTTTTATTATATACTGGACTATTGCTTTGAAATTGAATTCGTTAAAAAATAATCGAAAAGAAGTAGGGAGTACTTAAAAACAATCAAACGACGAGTCGGTTTCGTGAGGAACACGGGCAAACACAACTAAAGGCGAAGGACCGAGCCACTGTTTTATTTGCACTCTCTTTTAAGGCTTTAGGTAGGCGTTAGCATTCAACAGTAATAACTCTTTCCTCCCCTAAAACCCTTTCAAAACAGAAGATCGCTCTTTCTTTTTTTCATTCTTTCTTTGCAGTCGCCCCCCCAAACTCAGGTAAATTTTTTACATAGAATCACTATTTCCATCTTCTTTCTCTTTCTCTTCTCCAATTCTTAATACTTCAATCTTTTCCAGTTATGAAATTAGGTTATTGTTTTAAATTTCTTTAGTGGGTAATTCCTTGTTGCTTCAAAGACACATTCTAACATTTAGGTTTTTTCTTTTTTTAATTTTAGTATTCGATTATAGTCTTACACGAGATAGTTATGATTCATGTTCGATTTTTTCAAATCCGACAATGGTGCGTGATATAATTCTTCTTTTTATGTGTATAATGTATATATATTTTGCTATGCCTGCTTTTACGAGCGCAAAAAGGATTTGAAGTCTTTTTTTATGTTTCCTGTGTTTGCCAAATTGGAATTTTGTTGGCGTATAAAGGTGTGATTCTTATATATATATATATATATTTTTAAAGATTTTTATGTTAAATTTATGATTCTTTCCTTATTCCCCTTAATGTGTCTAAATGTAGAAAAAATAAAATGTCAACTGGAGGAGAGAAAGGATCGGCAACCACAAAAACGCCTGCCGATTTCCTCAAATCGATACGTGGACGGCCTGTTGTGGTTAAGCTCAATTCTGGAGTTGATTATAGAGGTAAGTTTTTCTTTTTACATATTCTAGCTTTGCTTATTATAATCTGTGTTCTATATAACCTGATCCATAAAACTTTTTTATGCCTTTCTTCTGGTTTTATCTATGACATGGGTGAAATGATGGATTTATCTAAATATAGCTGCTATAGAACCTTCTGACTTTCCCAGAAAATGGGTTCGTTCTTTAACATTTTATCGAAGGTTGTGCCCTAGAAATCAATGTGTGTTGTTTTTTCATATTGAAACTTAACCTGTGGGCATTGCCCATCACTATATATATGCTTCACTTTCCCACAAAATTTACATGGAATTCTTAGCCACATGGATTATGCTGCTTGGATTCTAATATCTTCATGCCATACTATAGATATGTATCCAAATGCAGAATAGACCAGTGGGTATTGCCCATCACTGCAACATGTCTGTGAGCAAAAAGAATCTGCTAGTGTTGAGCGAACAAATAGTTTTTCTGTAAAGTAATGCCACTGTATTGATGAGGAAGAATTAAATTGCAAGGAGCATTTATGTATAAATAAATGCTTCCTGTCTAGTGTACATAGCTAAGATCAGTAGAATTTCCTTGTTGCTCATAAAGGCTGTTGAGAAACATAAGAACTATTTAGAAAACATAATGACTCGTTAACCCATTTAACCTTTTCAAGATCGCAGCTTTTGCTTATTACTTCAATTCCCTCAAATTTGACCGAGGGCAGCTTGTAAAGGTTATGGTAAGTTTGTGTTAGTGTGTTTTGACGGCACTTTTCATGGTATGATGACTCTAGAAGTCAGATGTCTTTTTTGTTATGATATTACTTGAGCTTCCGCTGGATCTTCCTCACTTTAGGGGAGCATGCTCTGATACTCTTTTTTCCTCCAATGTTATGCTTATTATTATCAACATTTTTCTTTTGTGCAGGTATTTTAGCTTGTCTTGATGGGTACATGAACATAGCCATGGAACAAACAGAAGAGTATGTAAATGGCCAACTGAAAAACAAATATGGTGATGCTTTCATACGAGGAAATAATGGTAGTAACCTATAAACGTATTTCCAATGTAATTTCTTGCCCGTCTACAAGGATTGCATGATAATCATATTTGAACTCCTTTGATGCAGTTCTGTACATCAGCACTTCAAAGAGGACACTTGCAGATGGAGCATAATCACAACTATGGCATGGGAGCTGCTTCATATGTTGCCGGTTTGATGGCGCAGTGTAGTGATTGTGATTCTGCTTCGGATCAGAAATTAACGTGTCAATTAAATTTCCTTATATGATGTGAGACGAGCCAAAAATTTGCAAATTTAACTTTTTTGAATTGTAATATGCACCCTCATTAGTTTTGCGCCTGGAATGTTCTTTTTCCAATCTTCAAGGTTCATGCTGTAACCCACTCTCTGGATTTGGTGGTACATTTTGTTCGAGACTATATCGTATTTTTATGTTGCCTGTCAGCAACGAGCTCCCCTGAACCCCAACTCTCCCTCACCGTTATTCTACTCTATACAAAGCATATGATTTTGACCAACAATTGAAGATCCATGAAGCGATCATGACCACTGATCGGAAAATGAATAATCCCATTGGATGAAAGAGCGACTTCGTCAAAGCACAAAGACCAGTAGCTGAATCATACACCAAAAGATTAATTTTGTAATTATTTCCAACACTGGTAAATTAGGAAGGAAATTATTTATTTGCAGAAACTGACACTCACTGGTACCTGACCAATGACCAATTGCACGGGCAAACAAATAAATTGGCGTCTTCAATTGCAAAAGTTAATATGCTACATATATACACACATGATCCTCATTGCAAACGCTACAATTAACGTTATAACATCAGCAACTCTGCCCGGCCTGTTAAACTATCAGTTACACCAACTACATACAACAGGAAATAATTTAGAGATAAAGAAATAAATATGACGAAAAGGATAAAATAAAATAAAATCCCCTGCTCGCTCGCTCGAGCACCATCTGAACTAGACCTACATTGACTTTATCAACTGTTTCTGCCTTTCCTACCAGAGATCAGAAGTCTGATTTCATGAGCTTTGCACGTGCCTTTACATTGATGCTGTCAAAGGGCTTCAACTGTTCTACCTGGATGTAATCCCTTGTTTTAAGAACCTGCAAAAATGCCATCAATAATCATCCAAAGGTAAGGGAGGATCCACCGCCACATGAACAAGCTGTGAATAACTAACGGATAAAAACTAGAAAAAATCATCTAAAACATTTTAGCATAGTTTTCATCACTTTATTTTCTTGATTAACCTTTTCATATATTCAAACCAGCACTCTATCAAAACGTATCTGCCCTTGCACAGCTCCTATCTCCATATTATGTTGTGTTAAAATTTAAAACCAACTGCTTGCTAACTCTCTATACTAAGACATCCTTGCTGCTTCAAACCCACTTCAAACCCATTCAACACTTATTCCAACATCTTGAACCAAAAATGTATGTAGATCTTCAAAACAGAATCAGTTTTCTACTGCAACCCAAGTGCAAAACACGTACCAAAGTTTCAAAGAACATTCTCGATGCCTCCTTCCGAGTTTTACCACCCAGAAGGCTGTCCACTGAAATGACCTTCCTTCCATTTGCACCTTCATTATCAAATATAGTCTGAAGGTACTTGGCCACAGCTCTATAAAAGACAGTATCAACAATTTATCAGGAATTATTCAACCTATTTTTTAATAGAAATGCATAAAACAGACAAAAAAGAATCTCGACAGCCGGTATTTCAATAAATAAATAAATAATGCAAAAAATGAAACAGGAGAACGTTGTCTAAGCATCATAACTAAAACATCTTGCAATATCTTCAGAACTCTACAACGAAATAGATAATTTTTTCACCCTTTACGGTAAAGAAGGGTAGATGGTATTAAACCGTTAACTATTCATTTCCAAAACAGAGATTGTAATGCAAATGTCTGCAATGTCATCATGTTTCCTCAAACATGCTTCCCATGCACCAAAACTTGCCAAAAACAAGAACAGTCTGCGAAGCAACCCAGAGAAGCTGAGGTAAAAGAGAGACTTGGAAAGGGACTGTTGCCTCAGCTATATATACTGCTTTTATACTACCCTACGGACACAGATGAACTGCCCGAAAGAGAGAGGAAGAGGAGGGCAAAATTTCAACACATTAATCAGGCAGACATCATATAAATATCAATTTGACCACAATGTCTAGACATGCTCTCAAGGACCCTGTGCAACAGGAAAGCATGAATGCCCAGGCCAGTATGCTAATAGAAATCCTTGTCCTAGATCCTACATTAGTGTACACTGAAAACAGATACATGCACATGGACACACAGACAAAACTCTGCTTCCAAACATCCAGTAAAATGTCATATGAACCAGGACCATGTGAAGCGCACACACCTGGTGCGGGAAGACCAGCCACTATTGTCAAGAAGGCGGGCATCTTCAGGACCTGGCATGCCATCATCATCATCTTCACCCATCTCATCATCATCTACCTTCAAAAATTCTGAAAAGAAAATAGATCAATAACCATTAACAACAGAAACTCTACGAGATAGCATATACAAGCAGGAGTGGATTCTTCACGATGAAAATCAGTTCACTGTCCTGAGCCAAAAAATATTCATGTGACTATCTAACACAGGAAGGACCAAATGTAAAAGACTATTGAATCGTTAACACCCAAAAGTGATCCCCAGACACCTGCCACAGCCTATTTCCAACAAAGTTGATAATTGCAGAAATAACAATGAATTATGAAAGTATAAAAACGCTGAATCAGCAGTTGATTGGCTTGAATAAACATAAAAATGTGATTCTTTTAAGACTTAAAACACTGTAGGGTCCAATAAGCTCTATATCAAATCTAACCATAATTCTGAATTCCTCAAATCTCTGACCATTTTTTCGCTTGAGCTCCATGTTTGCATCACTGTCATAACAGGAGAATGGCTCTTTGCAATTGACTATGGATTTCACGTCCCAATATAAGCTTTAGATATTATAAGCTACAAAAAGAATGTCCAACACCAAACATGTACAAGTTTCCACTATGTATATTCGTGTTCATGATCGAGTTCTTTTATTCAAACATTGTAAAGAAACGTGATTAATGAAGTTTGTAAGTACTACATTCAAAAATGGAAGAGAAGCTCACCTGTATCATTTGCAAATGCAACATCTTGAAGATCCTGCACCATAAGCCAATCAATCAGCCAAAGCTAGAATTATTTAAAAGTGATTCTACTCAATCCAATAATAATGACTCCATAACCATAATAAAATTCAATACTAGGACACAGCACGCTAAATCCACATTGACTTTCAGAGCAAATAACAACACAGTTGAGGAATGGAATGCAAAAAATTAAAGCATGTCTATCAGTCTTCTATTTATTGCACATATGGTTTCTTACTTGTGCACTGTATGTTGTGATTTTTCTATTCGCTAACTACTGCACGTCTCTTATTGAAAAGGGAAAAAAAAAAAAAAGAAACAACTGGACAATTTCACCAGATAAAACAAAACTTACCAAGTTCATTAACAAAAGAATAGATAGTGTTTCCTAATTCCGTTTGACAAGAGAAAAACTAGGTGTGCAGAAAAAAAGTAATTAATTAACTGGATATGCAAAACAAATTATTTTTTTACAGTTATAAAAGATGAGCATGAGAAACCAGAAGAAAAAACAAGAAAAATTTAAAAGCACCTGGATGCCAAAGAAATGAGTTCTAATGAAGAAGCTTCACAAGAGAAAATCAGAACAGAAATGATATCAGGAGTTTTTACTTACAGCAGGATGGTCAACATAAGTTATTCCAGCATCTGCAGTTCTCTGTTGATCAGCTTCTTGACAGAATGGATAATCTCCATCATTTAAAGAAGCATTTTTGAAGTCCCCGTCTAGTGCTAAGGGATATGTAAAATCCATCTTTAATTCTTCATTACATAAATGATTAGACTCTTGGTCCTTGTCAACATGCCCTGGGATCACAGCTAGGCCCCCATCTTCATTACCACCTCCTAGCTTGTCATTTTCAACTTCATCCTGAGTTTGATCAACATTTACAGAAGTGAGGTTAATGCATCCACCAGTTTCTGAAGATATATTTGCAAGCAACGTGTCTGCATCATCAGCAGGTGCAGAACCATCAGCCTGAAAATCTACTTTGAATTCCAGTGGTGCACCAGCTTTGCTTTCTTCCAACAAAATTTCCTCTCCTTCCCTCGCTCCAGTTCCAACTGCAACAACATTATCTGTTTGATGGTCTAAAACTTCAATGTCATCAAGTGTTTTGCCATCACTCATATCCCTTAAAGCAACCTCCTCAAATAGTTGAGTATCCATCATATCTGATGGCAGGATTGAAGCATCCATCTGCAGAGAACCATCTACCCCAATATTACCATCCATCAGAGCCGACACATCCAGCATGCTGCCAGCATCTCCAGAAATCTGTTCAGCATGAGATCCGTCAAACTGCAGAATGGTAGCGTGGTTTGCTGCATCTGCAACTTCATTCCCTTTATCAATTTCCATTTCAGTTATTTCCCCCAATGTTTCATGTTCTGAAGATCTATGATCAGCAGCATCAGTGATTTTATTCATTTGCCCTTGATTAACAAAATCAGAACTCAATTGATTCTCTTCACCCTCCTGGTTCTCGGTCCGAATGGGATTCTCAGCAGATTGTCCATCAACATCATTTCTGCAAATGACAGGTTCAGTGCTTGTTTCCAATTCATTATCTTGAGCAACTGTTGGTCTACTAGAATCCTTTGCCACTTCATTTTCAGCAATCTCAATTCTGCTCACATCAAATGTTTCACTGTGCAAACATGTCAGCTCTGCCAACATACCTGAACAACCAAAATTTAATCAACTTGTATCTTCATAAGCAAATGAAATTTGGTTGTGTGAATAACAATTAAATCAAAAAAAGGATGCAAAATTTGAAGACATGGAAAAGCAGAGGTTATGAACCAAAATCATGTCTACTGAATTTTGGCCTGCATGTTCACAAGTTGAGAGAGTCAATCAAGAGAAACACGTGGTACAAGCTGGAAGACAAAAAAAATTGTGATCATGCCACTCATGAAATACAGCTAGATTCTACTATAATAATCTTCTGTTGAAAAAATATAGACGGGGGATGTTATCATGGGTATTCAACTTTGATTGGTGAGACATGAAAAAGTTGTTTCTAAGTTGTGTACTTTGGGCCCATAAATCTTCCGAAAATAGGAGAATCACATCAGCAACTATAACTAAGGCTGACATACTCAAACATAAAACAAATCCTAACTATTTCAAAAATAGATAATAAATAAATTACAGCAAACAAGCAAGCTGAAGGTTTAGCAAAATGCACTCACCAGTCAATACCGGTTCACTGAAAATTTCATCATCTAAAGATTGCCTCTGAATCATCAAAATCTCTGTGCGTGTGCAAGGAGCTTTTTTTCGTAAGCGACGTATATCTTCTGTATTAGTTAACTGTTGCCGTATAGTACTTGACAAGAAAGAATGGGAAATCATCAGTATTTTACAGATGATAAGAAATTTAGGACAGCCAAAGATTTAGTACATGTTGAAATTTAAGAGTGCTTAAACTGATTGATTATGCAAGTGAGAATCAGAAAAATTACTGAGGTGCTGAAGGACAAAACCACCAAGTAGCACTTTTCATAACACAGCTAGATTAAGCCTCATGGTTAACTTATCTTCATGCAATTATATCAAAAGGAGTCAGATTTGTTCGACCAAGCTATTGGGATTGTTGGAGCACAAAGACAAAGTAGTTATGCAAAAGGTAGGTAGAAGACTTTTTCAAGAAACATAAACAGCAACTACTTCGTAGAAGTGCATAAAATTTGATGGGTCAAAAGGGATGGAAGAGGAAAGGGCTTGTAAAAGAAAAAATAGCCAGTGAATTTCCCCATTTTAGATCAACAGTTTAACAAGCAAGAGAGACTTGATTTACTGCCAGACACTTATACTGAGTAGAGATATTTGCTACTATAACTAGCAGTCAATAACAGATAAGTTGTGAAAAAAGGAGTAGAACATGAAAAAAATGACATACTCGCCAAGCAAGACCATCGAATCATCCATAAGCACCTTCCTCTTCATGGCACTGGATCGAGATGCAGACCGGGTACGTTTCATGGATGCCACTTCAGGTGCAGGTGGAGTAGGTTTCATTTTCAGAACTGAAGATCTTCTTCCAACTGAAACAACAAATATGCCAGGTCAAACATATTCACATATTTATAGAAGCATCAGCTTTTTTCAAAGCATATAGTTCAATAAACTTTTTAGGAACAGACGTAACAGCTTCCCATTTCAAACCCATGTCATAAGTCATGTCGCAGTATGCCATGCTTAGAGGCATCAAGAAGAACGATATACCTAATATAGAAGATAGCAAATCATCATCGTCAGGAATGGAATCCACAGTCCTCTTTGATCTGGAGACTCCAAAAGAATCAGCTGAATTTAAACTTTGCACAGTTAGTGAACTTTCTGTAAAACTACGCTTTTTTCCAGTAATGTTGGTTCCAGCACTGCTTCCGTCACCCCCATCTAACATTTCTTTGTCTGGTGTTGACTCAACTATCAAATCATTTGGCTTATCAAGAAGCCCTTGTGGTACAGAAAGCAACTTTTCAGGCGTAGGCAATTCAAAAGTCAGGGAACTATTCAAGTTTTCCAACTGATTATCACAAGAGAATGCATTGTCTGGTTGCTCATCTTGTTTCCAACCATCTGCTTGAATTTCTCCATGTGAATTGGGTTCTGATATCTTATTTTCCACTGATTTTATACCATCAGTCACATGGTATTCTTCACCTGCAAAGGTAAGACATCCATTAAACATTAAAAAGTATACAGAAACATGTGTAGAAGGTTCAAACAACACTTTATATAACAATTTACTCAAAGTTCATTCATATAGCTTGCTGAACAAACCTTGCACCTTAGTGGAAATTCCAGAAGCATGGAGCGCTTCCTCCCTGCTGGATGTCTCCAATGAACATGGCACATCATCTTGTGGTTCAGGGGGAAGCTCCTCGTTATTAATTCCATGGGATGATGAATCAGGTTCATTCAAATGGGAATTGCATGCCCGGAGCACACCCACAGACGTGTGTGTCTTTTCTTTATCAACGTCTTTGTTCAAAGTATCAGGATCCTCTGGTCCATGGCAAGCCTGAGCATCATCCTCTGGGGCACTAGCCAATTCCAATGTACAGCCAGTTTTTGCATCTACAGCTTTTCCAAGTGCGCTCAAGTCTTCCACAGCATTAGAAATTACAACATTATCTAGTTCATGTAACCTGACTCCTGTGGATTCTCTGCACTCCCCATTGATTTTATCAACAGAGGGCGCAGTTGATTCGCCATTGCAAACAACATGATTTATTATTTCCACCTTGTCTGATCCATCTAATGCACAAACAGTTCCATCTACCGCTAAGCAGTCTATATTCACTGCAGCAGATGGTAACTCTCCATGTGACTTTCCTTGATTGATTTCCAAATCACCAGAAAGACAGCCATTCTCCTCAGCAGGCATGCACACAACAGTATCGTGGTTTAAATGATTGCCCAGAGACAAATTCATTGCGTCGTCCCTGTGATGAAGATCTGGCTTGCTGGAAGCATTTCCTGTACCCTCTATTGCTACTATGTTGGTTAAATTGTGATTTTCTGGTTCTAAATGATCATCACACGCCAGGCCATCCTGAACGCTGGACAAGTTTGGCTCTTCTGCTAGCCCAGGAGTGGAAGGAGCCTGAGCATAGTCAAGATATTCCGAATTTGAAGCTTGACCTCTTATCTGCTCACAAGGGTAAACCATTTTCGTCAGCTAACAGTAATTATCCTCTCATTACAATGAAAAATGATCAATCCAACAAATTACACAGAACAAAAATCCATGGACCAAATTAAAAGGAAAAAGAATATTTGGGAGAAGTGATAAGTGACTACTAGAAATAAAATATTTTGGATATCCATATCAACCTTGTTTCTAGTACCATTCACTGAAATGCCTTCTGCAGCTCCAAACATGCCATGATCTTCCTCTACTTTTGGTTCCAATGGTTCAACGGATGGCTGAAAATTTGCCCTGCAAAAACAGGATGGTTTTATGAATCAACAATCAGGCAACTATCCACACAAATTCCATGAATTTATCATTTGCAAACTTTGTGTGTCGTAAATGATTCCATGAATCAACCATCATTGGTTACCCACGACAATAATAATAGCCTTGTGACTGACTATTTATCATGTTGTGATCAATGAGCCCAAGCTATCTATTTTCTTCCTCTGGGGCAAATGCAACTATGACAACCTCATTAATACCACAACATCAGGCTTCTACTCAAGACTACTAATACTAATTTCAGAAATACACAAATAAAAGAACAATTTTTAGATAAAAGGTTAAGATCCCATCTGTCAGAGTTTGCAGTAAAAGAAGTGCATGGGCAAACAAAAGTCCAAGTAAATGATACATTTGTCCTGCAACCAGTTCTCACCAAATTAACTGCAGCAATAATAACATATAACCATTGGGCACAAATATCTCATTTTCACCAAAAGACTTGACCAAAAATACCAAAACATATTCCATATATAAATAATATGAATAGGAAGCATGCTCAATCACATACTTGAAAATGAATTCTAATTTGAATTTATTAATATAAAACTCAAAACATTAACATTCAGTAACTGCAATCTGCAAAAACATCTATCTATGGGACAAGCACAAAGTTTATTTCAAATGGCATCTCCCACCATCCAAAAAATGAATAAAACAAATTAGAGTTCAAAAGAATATGTTAACAAATGAACACACAATCACAAGAATGGTTAGAGAAGGAATCAGATAGCAAAGTCATAGAAAGCCATACTCTGAAACTTCATCGGACCTTGGAGCTACAACCTTGTCTAGGAACAGGTCCTGTTTGTAATCAACCAAAGAAAGAAATTTTATAAATGGCATAATAAAATAAAAGCGAGTTAGTGAATTATGAAACAGATTTATCCAACGCCATAAATAACTGAATAATATAGGGCATTGAGAAAAGCCCATGTTTAGATGCAGATTGGCGCACCCATGCAAGTACCAAATATTTCCAATTTAACAATATAGTTGTATCACTAAATACCAGTAAAACTGTATTGACCAAAAAGCAGATCAATGCAGATTCCAACCTAGACCAAAAAGCAGATCAATGCAGATTCCAACCTAGACCAAAAAGCAGATCGATGCAGATTCCAACCTAACTTGCGAAGACATTTAGATGCAAGCATAAGAACATTACCTCTTCAAGGTCCAAACCAACATGAGAAGTGTCTCCATCACCAAACCGCTCTGAAACCAACCAGAAAAAAATAAGAAATCAATTAAGTGCATAGCCATCTCTAAGAAATTAAATGTATTCTTCCCATGACTTGCAGAGGCATGTACTAACCATCCAACCCAAATTGTGATGTGGAGTAAACAACACCATCCATTGTGTCTTGGAGGGTAATCTGCTCCCTCGTACTAACGTGATGATCGACATAGTTGCTGCAAGAAAGAGGTATGTTAATATCCAGAAGAAAAGACATCATAGGTTCTTAGCAGGAAATTGACATAATAATCCAAGCCTATTTTCAACCAATATAACAGGTGACATGAACCCTTCAAAATTTTGCAGAATTTTCTACAAACATCAAGTTTGGAGCAAAACATTACCATCTAAATACCCAAAAAAAAAACCATATAATTAGTCCAGTAGGACAAACCATGCAGTCACTTGAAAAACTTAGATGGTCACGCATCTACAATTATTGGACCAAGACTGGTGCATTAATGGTTGGACCCTTTTAAGAAGAAACCCAAAAGAAAAATACGATCAAATCCAGATCTTTGCAAGGTCATCATGCATCTAAAACTCTTTTGAACTACAAAAATAAACCATGACCTACAACATATTAGCTTCAGTTATCAATATTATTTGAATGTTTTGAAACTAACCCCTGAAAAATATCATTGTCTGGAAGCTCAAAATCATCAAGATCAAAAGTCTCTGGCAAGGTAATGGAGTGATATGGGGCAGTTGATTCTTCTGGTGGTAAATCAACTGCAGTGGAGCGGAACGCTTGCTTTACCTTCAGTAAAGCCTCACTGCAATCATCGAAAAGGTAATTCACCTTTCTAGAATATATCCTCACCACACCAAGCAGAAGATGACTAGACAATCTCAGTGCAATTGGTACTTCAGGAAAAAGAATCGAATCTGCTCAAGTAACAAAAGATGGATGAGCCAAGAAAGAGTCAATAATCAAGAACAGGAAGCAGCAAGGAATCAAATTGAAATATATTAGATCCATTCGAATGAATCTCCAACTGTGATGCTACAAGAAGATAAGCACAAACATGAAATGGGAGATGATGGGACATAAGAAAATCCAAAGTTTATATCTGAACTAAGGCCAGAGGCACCAAAGTTAATAATTCTTTGAAGATAATGAACAACCAAACAGCAATATTACATAAATGAGACAATCTACGGCTGACAAATACAAACTGTATCAAAGATCATGCAAATGCTCTCCAACTCATATAACTGCTCTGAGCTTTCAATGTTTAATTATAACAGATGGGCATAACTCAACTGTGATCACACATATACAACTTCACCAAGCTTAAAATATAATTGATGCTTGCAGGCTCATATACTTCTCTAATGCTATAGAACTGATACAGTTATTCAATCAACATAAATTACAGCAGAACTTTCAATTTTGAATACCAAAGGGCCAATAATTAACAATCATCTCATGTCAGGGAAAGAACCGATTATGCTGGTTCCTTTACGTCAAACAGTGTTCTGATTTTCCAACTGAGTTACCAATCTAGACTATGATCAATGAAATAGGATTTGAAACAAAGGTGATAATTTTTACTCATAAGGAAGATAAAGAATGATCCCATAGGCTCATGACAGCTCATTTCCAAATCTATTTCATCTCTAGCACACAACTATTTTACTTCTCATTCTCAAGGATCATAATTACCACACAAGAGATCTCTTTACTAATGATTGTGTTTCCATGTAAATCAACCATGACAAATCAAATCAATGGTGTACCATGTTCAAAGAGAAGAAAATGTTATTGCTGATTCATTGCAATGCAACAATGGAGCTTCAGGCTAAATTTTCGGCTTTTGTTCATGCAGGTTTGGTTTGCCTACTTTCAGAAAGCTGGCAATGGAAAGTTCTATCCAAGAAAAGGAAGCACCTTTTGGGTTTGCTTGCTATTTTACTTTGATTGATTTGAAATGGAGAGAAATATTAGCATATGAAGTGGAGAATAACCCCTTTCTAGGTTAGAAGAATTTTTTGAAAGGTTTGATCAAACTAGGACAGAAATAATACTATATCTGCTCCTTGATTAAATTCTGCTTTTAGCTAGCAAGTAGATTGACAGGTTTTGGTTTCCTTCATACATACTACAAGTGTACAGGAGGCGGTGCCCCAAAACTATATCTTGCATAACTAGTTAGTAAAACAGAAACAGAAGGCAGAGCCAGCTTTAATACCAATGGCAATTTAATCCAAAGGTAACAAAGGGCAGATAGAAAAAGAAAGCAAATGTGGGATGACACAGCATAAAGACAGCAAGAGATCAGCTAATAACCAAATAAGACAGATGACTGGATCAAGCATAATCCAAAAAAAAAATTATTACTATCAAAACTACAACAAAGTCCATCAATTATTTCCTCTGGCACCAGCTTAGCTTTGGAAAGACATTGATCTCAATAAAGGAATATATATTAAAAAAAAAAAAAGATAAAAGGAAATCATAGCCCTTGTTTCATTTCATCGAAATCAAAAATCAGCGCAACCATTCAATTACACCCAGGATAGACATCCCTCTTCGTCTCTCACATTCATGTGGAGAACAAAAATGAATCTCACAGGTGCGATCCTATGCTTGTATATACTAGCTCTATTGAACAACTTTCCTACAGCAAAATAATAGGTGTATAATTCAAAAATAACTTCAAGGTTACACTTTACCAACTGCTTATGCCAAGATTTGAATTCAGATAGGGTAAGCTACAATAACTAAAGATGAATAATTACTTTTATCATTTTCATTCTACTTGAAGCTACAACTTACTTAAAATATTAACATATGCTCCATCTGTTAAATGGAAAGATAGGTAGATGCATCCCAGAAGGAAATTAAATATAGCAAAACAATCAACACTGTGGAACTATGATGTTACACTGCATCAATCAATTGAGTCTAATAGTGTCGTTTCTTTCTCAAAAAATTAAAAACAAAGAAATTCAAAAAAAAAAAAATCGAAGGTATATACTGCACAAAGTTGAATAAAAACTAACCGACAGAGACACCGATATCGGTATCAGCAACCTGGTTCTTCCGAAGCTTCCTCTCCAAATGAGCAGCTATCCAAATTGTACCTAAAGGCCCTTTCTTGGCCAATATAAACTGTGAATAAAACATTTCTTATCCACCAATTATTAAAATCCACCCACTTCAGTTCTCATACAACAATCTATACCCTAAATCTGCAAAACTATCTTATTTACTGCCCAATTTAACTCCTAAAGCAAACCAAAACACTTCAAATCCCACAAATTTACAACAGAGACCCTAATTTCAAACACAAAACTTTGTTCCTTCTAAATTCTCCAGTTGAAGCTCCGAACTTTCAATTGTTGATTACGCGCCCACAACAATCAAAATAAATAAAAATACTTCAACTTTAGCAACTTTAAATCATAAAAACCCTACCTTAACTACCAAATTGACCACTAACAGCCCTAAAATACCCTAAAATTGAACACAGTAAGCAGAAACAAAACCCCAATTTACAGCCAAAAAAAGAAACCCTAATAATTCAACTTTTTAGCTACCACGTGATCTCAGAAACTTCCAAACACAACAAAACAGCTTCATTTCCACGAAACTCGTATGATTCACCAGTCAGAAGCTTCAAAAAATTGCAAAAGAACACGAAAACCTAGCTTCATGTATACGACATCGTCTGGAAAGTGAAATTTGTTGAGAGAGGAGTTTGAAACGAAGAGTAACTGAGTTGGAGCGAGTTGAGAATCACTGAGTCAAAGATCGAAGACAGAGAGAGAATCCAAAATACCAGAGAAGGGGAGATGTAAGAGAAGATAATTTTTTTTCTTTTTTAGAGAGAAGTAAAGTAAAATAAAAGGCTCTTAGTCTTGTATTTTTTGAGATTTAGATTTTAGATTATTATTTATTTATCTGTTTAAGTCGTTCCCTTTGCTGCGTGGCTTGTGTGTTTCTTTACTTTACTTACGCTACTGATGTGGATTGGGTGCTGGCTACTGTACTTTGACTTCGATTAAGCGTTTTCAGCCGTCCGATTTACTACAGGGATTGAGTGGACTCTACTGATTTAGGCTTTTGAATGTTTGATTAGGGGGACACCAATCCAAATTTGATATTTACCGCTCCTTTTTTTGTCTCTTTTTTAAAATTTTAGCACGCATTATTCCTAACTTTTCATGCACCCGGGCGTATTACCGTACTGATTTAGCTCATTTTTGGAGGAATTTTACTGCATGCAAAAATTTTAAGAGTAAAATGTTTACTTTAATATGTTATTTTTTATAATTATTTTAAATTTGATTATTAATTCAGTTAATTATTTTGCTTTGATTTATCACTTTAATTTTGAATGGATTTTATATTTAAATTAGTATTGATTCCGTGTAATATACATGCATTATTAAATTTAATAATTAGTAATTATAACAAAAATTAAGAATTTAAAAAAATAAAAATAAAAAATAGTGATATTGCTTAATGATTAATAATTTTTTTAAAAAAAAAGATGCAGTCTTTTTAGACAAAAGGAGTGATCATATTTTGTATGTTTTGACATGGAGGCTGAATCTACAAAACTCTTTCCAATTGTAATAAGTTTTCTTCCTTATTCTATACATTACAACATTAAAAATAAATAAATAAATAAATTTAAGTGACAATGCTGCAGCCGAAAATGTTTTTCAATTTAATCTTTTTATGTTTTCCAAAATTAAAATCATTGAAAATATTTATTTCAGTCCAAAAACACTTTCAATAGTATTATTACCACACATGTCACGATGCAAGTCCATTGGACTAACTGTCTTGTTAGCGTGGTGCATAGTTTTATTGTCTCATGTTTAGTGCTATAAAATCGTGCTAGCAGCTATTGGGACCCGATGTAGGTTATGAAAGGACGGCGTACATCGAATTTATGTAGCATTTTTTCCATTTACCAATCACTTGTTGAGGATAATGTACACGAACGTGTATATGAAATTTCTTTTTTATGATTATTATTATATTTCTTTGTGCTTATAACTTTCTTATTATTTAACAGCGAAAACAAACAATATTTACAAGTTGCAAGATTAATCGCAACGTCCCTCGATTAGTATCTAATGCTTCATTTTTAAAGGAAGGAAAAAAATTTTGTTTAATCGGAAAAGATTTCATTAAAGCTCACGTCCAGCCTAAAAATTGCAGGATGGAAGAGAACAGCAACCAAAAACACGCCTTATTGGATCACCAATTTTTTTACTTTCTAGTGATCTTTTATCTTTCTGATAGAAAAATTTTAAAATGCTCTACAAGCAACTATTATATACTTACAATAATTATTCTATAAGCTTGATTTGAAAAAAAGGATAGAAAAAAAATTACATTCGATCCCTCTAAAAGTGATAAGAATATTTATAATTTGCCTCGGATTTGTTTTTTTTTCTTAATTTTCTTTCTCTCTTTGTGTCTATTTTTGTCTTATAAAGTAATTATCAGCACGTACTCCATGAATAATATAAATTTTTCTTTCTTGTGTATCTTATTATTGATGATAAATTATATGTTTGAATTTTATTGCAACTTATGAGTGTTTGTTTTTATATAAATACGAAGTAGAATTACTTGATAAATTGTAAAATGCTTAACGATAATAATACTTGCTTTATTAGTCGGTTTTGAAAAAAGAGACAAATGCATGAAAAATCACATATGTGTCTATAAAAAATGATAAGAATATTTTTATATAAATTTATTTTTTTAAACTCTCTCTCTCTCTCTCTCTCTCTTGTCTATCTCTCTTATAAGGTACGAAATAAGTATTTTTAGTTGCTCTTGGAGTAAGATAAAACTTATTAGACTTGCTTTCTTTTTTTGAAAAATGATTTCTTAAAAACTTATTTTTTCTAAAAATAAGTTTATTTTTTATAATCTAGATGCGTCAAGAAAAATGTTTTTCTAAAAAATGATTTATTTTTCATTAATAGCGATAGAGTGGTGGCGATGAGAAGAGGGAAATAATGGTGATGGAAAAGAAAAATGGTGATGATGCAATTATTAATGGCAGTGGTTATAAGAAGATAGTTGCGTTTGGTGAAGGTGGAGTGGCGATGATGAAAATAATAATAGTATCATGATTGTTATGGCGATTATACCGATAGTAAGTAACGAGGAAGATTGTGATCATTGTGATAATAATAGAGTGTCGATGGTAGCAATAGTTATACGTTGACCACAAAGTGGTGGTGGTGATGTTGATAAGAGTGGTTGTTGTGAGACGAGTGGGTTCGATGATAGTATTAACAAATAATCGATTACAATTGTGTTACATTGGTAAGAATTTTACGATGGTGGTGGTGAGATTTGGTTGTTGTTAAATGACTTTATGCTTTATTGTTTAATTTTTAAATGGGAGAATTGATTTTTGCCACGAGACATGTTAAGTTTCACTCCAAAAAGTATGTTGGAAATTCTTTTAAGATGAAATATTTTTTTTAAATGACAAAAAAAATTAAAATTTCTTCAACCTTCAAAATTATCAACAATGCATATCAACCTTGATACGTTTTATTATATTTTAAACATTAATATTTTATGTTCTAAATCTTATATTCACAAATACAAATGCTACAATTTTAATTTAAAACAACCTTGTATTTATTTTTCTTTTTGTAAATGTATATATAATTATGAATATATTTTTATTGTTACATACCATTTATGAGACGAAATACATCAAAAATAATAATTTTATACTACTTTTAAATTCAAATAAATACAAGTATGAAATTATATGCAACTAACAAGATATTTTAAATTTAAAACAAACTTGTTTTTTTTTTTTGTAAATATGTATATAATTATGAATACATTTTATATTGTTACGTACTATTTATGAGATGAAATACATAAAAATAATAATTTTATACTACTTTTAAATTGAAATGAATACAAGTATGAAATTATATGAAACTAACAATGTATTTAAAATTTAAAATAATACTAAAAGTCTCATGACAAATCTATGTGTGTTGTAGTCATTTCGATTCAAATAACTCAACATAAAAAATATATATAAAAAAATGAAACGACTCACCAATAAATTTTTTCAAACTACAATATCATAATCTATTATTAAATAATTTAATTATTTTACTTCGCAATGCAATAAATTATAATAAACCAAACAAACTTATAACTTTATATTATAAAAGATGTAATGGAAGGAAAGAAAGAAGAGGGTTTATGCAATCCACGGTCACTAACAAATAGCCTAAGAGGTGCACTAATTTAGACTCCCGTGGTATAACCTAAGGAAATACATATCCAATAAACTATAGGGAACGTGTTGAAAATGATATCGGTGGACCTAATAACTAAGCGAAACATGCTAGAAGTGGAATACCTTTAAGAGAAGAGGTTCTAATAAAAAATTAATTTGTGTGATTGGAAAGTGTTTTGTTAAACCATCCATGGAAGTTTTGAATTAAAATGATAATACAAATTATACAAGGAAAGAAATTTAATAGAAATATTAGAAATATATTATTATTAACAAAAATACTATAAATATATGGTCATAAATTCTTAATACATCACATTTTTTCGTATACAATACCCTGGAGAATAAGCAATAAGTTTAGATGTAGCTCTACATTCTTGACCCCAACAAGAAGCTCAATAAAAGTAATGGTAAGAGCTTGAATTTGGTTGTTTGTGTGCCCGGTTAATTGGTTCTTTATAGTCGATTGTGTGGAGTTTTTGTAACGTGAGGCTAGTTCGAAGTTATTTGAAAGGATCGCTTTGAAGTCGCTTTCAAATAACTTAATCGAAGGAAACCTTTTTTTTAGAAGTATAGGGTTTAATCTTTTCTTAAAAAAAAAAAAAGAAAAAGTCAACGAAGGGTTTGAATCTAATGGAGTTTGGCATATGAAACCATGGAACAAGGCCCGAGTCTTCATAAATCAACATTAGTTAGAAGTAGCTCCCAAGCAACTTAACTAGACAACAAGATAGTTACTAAACAAATCAATGGTCGGTGGCATCCAGGGTTGTAGTTTGATGGCCATATACAAAAAAAAAAAAAAAAAAAACATGTTATATTCTTGCAAAATATACGTGTCATTATTATACTATAATGCTAAAAAAATATCATAATTGTATTATTGATATGAGTTATGTATACATATATATATTTTTTTTTACGGATGCCATTTTAAAGAGGGTCCGATACATGCTCAATTACTTACCGTTGACAAAGAATCTTTCATTTTCTTTAGGTTTCCATTTTTTTCCTCAATTGCTTTCAACGTTTGGCATTCTTAAATGTCTAAACAACAAACTACATTCTCCAACGAGACAACAACTCAACTAGAAAGATGAAGTTCAACATGAATTTTTTTTTTAAAAAAAAAGAAGAAATAAATTTTGGGTACATGTTTTCTATGATCTTCGTTCCTTCGCTTCATCGAAATCTTCCGTTTCACTACCTAATTTAAAAATATCTTCCACCGAGATCTTTCATTTTGTTACAAAAATAGTAAATTATAATTTGGGAGGTTAAAACAAAAGGTATTAAGAATAATATTAAGCATATACATAACGGATTTGCAAAGACTGGTATAGGGAAAAATATGCAATAACCAAATAAAAATTACATATTTATATGATTAGTACATAACACCATAATGGATTTATATTATTATGGCAATTTAAACATTATTATTCGATGAAGGTTATTGCAAAAGATCCGATGAGAAAAGTTAGAATTAATCATTAACCTTTGTTTTTAGAAGGATTTCTTATGAGTTCTTGGATGTCCTTCCTTCCCAAATGATCCTTGAGATACATAATAACATGCAACCTCCATGAGTCACTTTTTCATCATAATCTTTAATGTTAAATGGAAGATTTATTAGATAAACGAGATACTAAGGTACTTTTTAAAAGTCACTTTAAAGTTCGAACAAAAATCTTGAGGTTAGGGGACCTTTTTTCTTTTAAGCTTACAATGGAAAATTGTGGATTTTAAAATGCAAACAAATAACTCTAGACATTAGAAGAAAAAATGAGATAAAGGAGAGAGGTTTACCAAATAATAGTACAAAACATGTAAATGGTAATTATCTTACGGAGACAAAGAGCATCAACATTCCCTAAAAGTGGCTAGGACATTAGTGAATTTATATCATATATATGATATATCAAACTTAAGAACAAGAAACATCAAATAGAATCCATTGCTATGAAACCAACAACGATGTTCCAAACATTATCCTCTCGCATGACTACTTTGTTTGTTTGAAAAATACTAAGATCCAACTCGAATCATAACGTTGTCAAATTGATTCCAAACTACCACAAATGTTGTTCGCTTCAATATCATCTTGCACGAGTTTAAGTCATCGAGAAAATTTTCACATATGAGCAACTAAATAAAAAACACAAGCGAGTGCCAAATTATGAAACTTTGAGTCTTCTAAGGTATAAAATATTTTGATTTCATATGGTTTTGTTACCAATCGGGATATCAAAAAGACAAATATGCCTCTTTTCTTTAGGAGGCATTGAGACATAGAAGTCGGGCCGGATGTTGCATTACAACTAGAAATGAGAGAGGAAACAATAAAATGCACATTTGTTTATTTAAACATTTGACAAACATCATAAAGTGCTTGCCTTATATACGTATATAAAGCATTATATGTTGTGACGACCACTTTTGTATCCCTAAATTGTAATCCAATTGGTCAATAAATTTCTAATGAGATTTCATAATGAACTTTTGATTGACATACGATATTCAAATGGATCGTGTAAGATGTACTCCAATGTAAATCACTAGCCTTATGTTTTTGGACAACTAAAAGAATAAATATCAAGTTGATCTTTAAGAATCACTTCAAGAGTAGCCTAAAAAAATTTTATGTGCACTTCTAGAGTGTGTTTAACATAAAACCACCACGATTACTATAATTAAAAAAAAAAACCCATAAAGCGAGCGCCATCAATCACCAATTTTGGCATCAACATCGTTGATTTCTTTTTTAAGCCTTTAAAGCATGGCATCTACTTGAAAATATGTACAAAGCACACAATATCCTCAATTACATTCCAATTCGAAGTTTACATATCATGCTTTGGTGTTCTATAAGAAGAAAACTTAATGAAAAAAAAAGGGACAATGAAATTAGTTGAGCAAAAGATTGTTCAAATAACTTACTCCATTGATTAGGGATGAAGAAACTTTGTCATAAATAGTTATCTTAGCAGACATGATTGCTCTCCTCTCATACAGACTTTACATGGCCGTTTAGCTTGTTCTTCGTTTTTCGTACCTATTTAGTCCACCATATTGTTATACAAGTCTATCCGAAAATGAACATAACAAATGAATGAGGTAGAGAAAATGAAGCTAAGTAAAGCTCAAATCTATAAACTCCAACTATGTAGCTATTTGTCATGAGAATGCCATGGATGGAGATCCCAGAATAATCAAGCTATCCAAAATTCATAAAAGGGTCGTGATATTCACTAATAAATTGGATTGAATGCATAATTAAAGAATAATAAAAGAGAAAGGAAGATTTAATATAAGTGAAATTAGAGGAACATGAAAGGACTCTGCTTGTTAATAAATTTGATCGAATGCACAATTAAAGAATAATAAAAAGAGCGAGAAAGAGATTAACATACATGAAATTAGAAAGAAAATAATAATAGTATAGATCAAGGTGAATTGCTATACCAATAACTATCACATGACTAATTATTAAGGATATAAAATTTGGTGTAAATTTTGGAGTATGTTTAGCCGTTTGTGTTTTTTTTTTACTTTAAAACAAAGCAATTATAAGTATCAAAAGTATTCGATTAGGATTTTAATACTTCATTACATAGCTTTTGAGAGTAATTAATTTCATCCCTTATTTTTTTGCTTCCTTTTAAATTCCAACCAAAAAATAAATTTTTTTATGTATACGAAGGAAATTTTTTTCAAAAATTTATTGTGAAAATTTATTTCAAATCCAAACTCAAAGATTTTTTTATGATTTTTTTTTCATAACATAATAATATAAGAAAAAGGCAGAGAAAAAAAAAGGCATTTTGAGATTTTTATTTTTATCATAAGTTTTTTTTCATGATAGATAAGGGAGGTGACAGAATTTGTTATGTCCAGTTTCCTCAGAGATTTGAAGGAATTGAAAATTCCGATCGCTATGCTAATCGAAAACATAATTTTTGTCGACATTAACATGACATCACTTGATGGTCTTTAAGGTCCAATTTATGTTGGCACAGGATGCCTCTTTCGCAGGATTGCTCTTTATGGTTTCGATCCTCTCATTGTTGGTGAAGAGAAGACCACACAACACATTGAAAATAAAGCAGAAACAACCAATCATGATATACTTTCAAAGTTATTCGGACATTCTAGCTTTTTCGTAGATTCAATTCCACAAGTAGAATTTCCAAGCCAACTACTGGATGATCTTCGAGATGTCGAGGACAAACAAGCACATGGTTATATGAGGAACATGTCTAGACAACCTGTTGATGTAACTAGAATTGCAGAGACAATCAATGCACTCACATGTTGGTACGAGAATAAAACTGAGTGGGATGCCGATTATAGTAGAGGGATGTAATTAATGAGGAAATTAATAGATGGAGACGATCAATACAAATGAAATAGTTGAGAGCCATCATGAATCATTAATATTTTCTTTAATTAATATTGATCGTTAATATACAAAAACATTTTTATCATAACTACTTTATATTTATCATATGTGCCACTTTATCTCTTTTATTTATTTATTTATTATTATGTTCGTTTATATCACCATATAATCAAAGCATATAGAAGTTAAGTATATTTTAGATTGGGTTTCAAGCAAATATTTCAATCCAAATATATATTCATAAAAATCTTTTTCTTACAACTTTTCAAACTAACTACAAACTCATTTTTCGTTTAGAATGACATCTCAAAAATAAATAAATAAATAGATAAAGAACTTACATTTCAATACGTGGTGCATTACGACTTTTATTTTAATAAATATTTTATGGTTTGCTTGTTATATAAGATAGATTGAGAGGATATTAATTTCATCCTTTTTAATTAATTGTTTCTATTTTCTTCGTTTTTGTTTTTAGTTTTTTAAGTGAGATGAGAATCCTCTTATAATAATCTGTCACGTGATAGAGTTGTATAAAATAGAAAAAAAATCGTATAATGGTGGTTTGGGTATGGTTTTGCGTGACAAAAGGAATTAATAACGAGGATCTTGTCTTGTGAGACATGAAGTTGGTCCATGGTCTCTGACAACTTACTTGTCAAGTTGCTATTTTTATTTTCTAAAAGAAAAGATACAGCTAGAAATTTTTTGAAATAAGAAACGACACAAATGTAAGTTGAAATAGAAATTATTAGTTAAGTAGTTGATTGGTATTATGGGGCATTATATATTTTATCTCTTTTAGCTGAATATGATATAAAAGAAATTATGTATTGCTAAATATTGAAATAAAACAGTTATTTCATCTAAATTTTAACCAATCATACAATGACACATATTTAATAAAAATAGATAGAATAACTAATTTATTTTAATATTTATTTGTACATAATTTATTTTTTATACTATAACTGGATAAATGAGTTAAAATAGATAATACAAAGATCCTAGGTGAATTTCACTAATTTATTGAATTAAAAAAATATTTATAATATCATGTGATGGTTATGTAATGAAAAAAAACTATTTCTTCTTGTGTAACCCAAAACGTGCATGCCTCTCAATGAATAGTAATAGTAAAAAAATTATTTACAATAACATAAAGCAACTAATTATATGAGCTATACTACAGGTTATTGATCAAGCAGTTGATTGATGTCTATGGATTCTATTATATTTGTTAAACTGAAATTAAATTAAGCAGCTCCCATCATGGTTGATCAAGTAAATGAAGATACAAATGTCGTGGAATTTATCAATAATCCTCTAAGTATTTGTATTGTTCTCTGTGCATGTGTTGTATAATTTTATTTTTCAATAAATGACAAAAAAAGCAAGTTTTATGAACACTATCCAATTATATAAATAATTTTAATGCTATCACCGAATGATTTTTAACATCAATTTTACCATTCAATTTTGAAAAATTCTCAATTAAGAACTTCCATTTATTTTTTAGGATCTTTATCCATATTTTTATTCAAATTGTGTTATATTTTTATAAGAAATTACGTCATTTACAGAATTTAACTTCTTTAAAGCGATTTTAAAAATCAAAACAATTTAATGATAAAATAGATATAAAAAATAATTTGAATATAAAATTAATTATAATTCAATAATTTGATAGTATATTTGATATTTGTCAAAAACAAAAAAAAAACGAGAGGCTCTGGGAATATTTTAAACACCGCGTGCCAATCAAAAGGGTATTAGCCATCAGGGATCATGGCTGGAGGTCCAAATAAAGGACCTCCGATACATTTACAATGGCGGCGCGGAATTTACCACCTAAGGTTGTGGTGCCACTCACTGCAAAGTACAAACAAAATGGACCACGTGCTATAATTGTAAGTGGCTTCTCCTTTTGTAGTGTATTAATAATTCACGAACGCACACCTTCTTCCTTCGAATGTATACGTCTTTTAAAGCTAGCGGCATATAGTGACTGCAAGTGGTCATGGCGGCTTCTATCTCACAGCGCCCTACTCGCATTACAGCTCAGAACCCATGTTCCAAACTGGACTTCGTTGGTGGGCTTTCAAGGAAAAGTTCCGGTTTTGTGCAGTTTTTAAGGCCCTCTGTTCGGAAGAGCAACAATGCTGTCAAGGTCTCCTGTGCCATCAGCAAAGACAATGGTAGTGCAGTGTCTGTTGCTGATTCCGTGCCTACTGTGACTCGCTCCAAGTCAGTCTTTGACTCTAACTCAAGCTCCATTTTTCGTTTTTCTCTTTTCTTCCGGCCTTGTTTTGCTCATTCATGTCAAGATTACGTTTTTGGGTCTATGTTTGTGTAACTGTGGTTATATAAAGAAGGTTCCTTTTCATCTGGGTTTCGGGTGATATTGGAAGGGTTGTTTTTTCCCCCTTGTTTTGTCTCTTCATTTGTTGGATTTAGTGGGTTCATGTTCTCTGTCTGGTTAAAAATGGGTATTTAATCAATATTTATCTTCTTATTGTTTTAAGAGCTTTAAGTTGTTCATTGTTGCTTTGCTGGTGCTATATTTTTTTGTCGGAATCTGATTTGCTTATTCTGGTTGGTGAGAAATAGCTCTTCATTAGTCCAATTCAGTTTTTCATTTCTTTTTGAACTAAAAAATTTGGACCTTGATGGCTTGGCAGCTATTGGTTAGATAATCCAAGATGGAATCTTAAATCACGAATTTAACAAGTCTATTGCATTATTTTATTTTTTCAGGGTGCAGCGACATACAATTTCAGTGTTTGTAGGTGATGAAAGTGGAATAATAAACCGGATTGCTGGGGTTTTTGCTAGAAGAGGTTACAACATCGAATCCCTCGCTGTTGGTTTGAACAAGGATAAGGCTCTGTTTACTATAGTTGTCTGTGGAACTGAAAAAGTTTTGCGGCAAGTTGTAGAACAGCTTAACAAGCTTGTGAATGTCATAAAGGTTAAGACTCATCCATATGAACTTCTAAATATCTTTGCTTTACAAGGCAAACATTGACAAAAACCTATGAAGAAGTGGGGTGCCGTAACTTACGACTGCTGCTGCCCCAACCGTTCTTCTAGCTATTTTTGTTGGGGTTAGAGTCTGACAAGGTTTAGCGGCCTTACAATAAGACCTATCTGTTCTGACACTCGATTCACTGAACTTGTGTGCCTTGCATTCGATCTGCCCTTACAGACACTTTCTACCTTTCCCCCTAACACACTGATAATTCTGCTTGTATTCATTAGGTGGAAGATATCTCCAGGGACCCACAAGTAGAGAGAGAACTGATGCTCATAAAGCTCAATGCAGATCCAAGCACTCAGGCTGAGGTAATAATGTGGTGATTAGGTTTATCTTTGCACCAAAAATTGTAAATCATTTTTCTTTGATGACTACTCCAATGTAAGCAAGTTAAGGTAGTGAACTAACTATTTCTCTTTGAAACATGTAGTTCTCCATTGTGTTACAATTTACATTTTATTAGTCATTTCTGTATTCAGGCAGCTGATCTCTTTTTATTTGCTTCAAACTTCAGATCATGTGGTTAGTGGACATCTTCAGAGCAAAAATAGTTGATATCTCAGAGCATTCACTTACTATTGAGGTGACTTTGATCAGATGCTTTATCATTTTTTCTTCAACTTTTTTCTTTGTTTTATATCCCATGGCTATGATGCTTAATGTTGATTTAAACAAGTGATTGGAGTTGGAGATCAGATGGTGTTGGTCTCGCTATATGCCTAGATGCTTAGGCATTTATGCACAGGGTAAATTTGTTAAGGCATTGATGGGAATTTCAATCGTACCATATTTAATTTGAAAAATCTGTCTGATGCAAAATTTATAGGCACTGAAAATTTGTTAAAGACTTTGTGTAACAGATGCCTGCTGTGCAAGAAATTTAAAAGGTCATGTTTATAAACAATTTGTAGTTCAGAAAAACTGTGTGACAGATGCATTCCGTGCAGAAAGTTTAAAAGATCATGGTTAGAAACAATTCGCAGTTAAGAAAAACTTTCTGCTGTTCTATAGCTACTCCTGTCCCGAGTCCAAACCTGCATAGCTTGTAGTACCTTTGCATGTACTTTTGCAACCTCTTATTAGCCAGAGGAGATCGTGGTTTGACTGGTTGGTGCAAAATAATTGGAAGTATCACAGACCAATTCCTGTACGTGGTTTGTCTGATGGCAAGTCAAAGTCTGCATGAAATATATTTTAGTTTATACTTTTAGGACTGAGATTGTGGTCTGCTTATATTATCTTCGAGTCTTAGGTCACTGGTGACCCTGGGAAGATGGCTGCTGTTCAAAGGAACTTAAGCAAGTTTGGAATCAAAGAACTTGCTAGAACTGGAAAGGTACAATGCTAGTTTTCTTCGTCTGTTTGAGTGAGCACATGCATGGTCTCTTTCCTGTGCAAATTCAAATCTGAAATTGTCTCTAAGCATCTTCAAACTTCCAAATTCCAATTCTCAAAACAATTTTTTTTTACGTAACTGTGTGCAATGTTATTTCACATGTACAAGAAATAAAGATTTAAGTTTCATATTGATTATATCAAGAACCTTTTTTTTTAGTGTGATGTTGTCGTGTGTAATGAGGTTTGAATTTCACTCAATATCTAGATTGCTCTGAGACGGGAAAGAATGGGTGAGACAGCTCCATTTTGGAGTTTTTCTACAGCTTCATATCCTGACCTTGAGAGAACTTCATCCGGTGTTGCCCTTGCCAGGAATGCTGCTAACTCCCTTGCAGGGAATGCAGACCTATCACTCAATGGAAACAACATTCCATCCTCGAAGGTATAACTTCTTACTTCCAGCTACCAGGATAGATATTCATATGGTGGTTTACCTTTCTGTCAGCATCTCTGACATATGTTGCAGAGTGAAATTTTGTTTGCACAACAATAAGCCATTACAGCCATTTTTGGGATGTTTATTATATGTTACTGAACTCATAAGAATTTTTGTTGATGCGAGAACTTGGAAGTTGTCATCAGCCGAGATTTCATGTTAGAGAATACCAGGCTGAGAAGATTTTCTTAAATTTCAATGGGTTCTTAAATTTCAAACAAGTGATAATGGTCCGACTGACCTTGTTCATGAATACACATTGCTCGAAGACAGCTTCATTTTTTAATCTACTTTGTTCACACTGCACCTTCTTGTGTTCTGAGAAGATTGTCTTTTGGATTTATTTTTAAATGACCTTGATGATGCTCACATGTAGGTCTGGTAGCCTGTGTTTGGATAGACGAAACACTAAGTTTACTCGTTTTTTCAGTTTGTGAGCTAGTAGATAGCACAATCTAAGTAGTTTTATAGTTTTTTACTTCCTTGTACTTGCAAAGGAAAGGAGGTGGTGCCCTTCTTCTGGCACAATAACTGCAATGCTTTTGTCTTAGCAATCAAATGTTATGCATATAGAGCTTCCAAACCAACACTTCCAGTTTTAATGGAGAGAACATCCACATCACATTTTTTTTTTTGTATTCCTCCTTCAGTTTATGCATGCTGGGAGTTTTGTATTGGATCATTGGTATGCCAGACTGAATATTGGTTGATTAGTCTTTTTTTCCTTTTTAATTGAAGGGTGATGTTTATCCTGTGGAGCCTTATGATGACTTCTTGGTGAATCCAGTTCTTGATGCTCACTGGGGTGTTCTTTATGACGAAGATGTAAGAATAAGACACTTATTTCCCTCTCAAAATCCTGAAGTGTTTTTTTTTACTGGTAAACTAAAATTTATTTCATTAAGAGTTTTGAGGTATGTGGATGACTAAAGTGACGATGATGATGTTCAAAATATTCAGTTCATACTTGGTGCAAATTTTTTAAAAGGTCATCCTGACACTGAACTTAATTAGGATTCAGATTCTTTCACCTTATACCTTTATTGTCAATTTCTTATCATAGTTAACAGTGAAAGCGAATTTTTGTCGGGTTGTTCCATTTTCTGCGTCGCTAGATATGTGTGCTAATGCTAGCCTGATTTGGCATGTAAAATGAGAAACTTGTTGCCCTTCAGTCGGTAACTTGTTTTCAGAGCAGTGGTTTCAATTCATGTATTATAATTAGCGAGGATGGTATATGATAGCTACATTCTGCCTTACCTTTCATTCTCATATTTACTGAATTTTGTTAGTTTGTTTGATTCAATGTTTCAGTCAAATGGGCTTCGGTCACACACTTTATCTATGCTCGTCAATAACTGTCCTGGAGTTCTAAATATTGTCACTGGGGTTATATCTCGAAGAGGCTATAACATTCAGGTAAATATGGTCACATTTATCATTCTCTTCATCCTTTATTGAATTTTTCTTTTTTGTGAAACCTAATTTTGATTATTTACATATGTTGTATATTTCTTTTAACTTAAACCTCTCAGAGTCTTGCTGTGGGGCCTGCTGAAGAAGAGGGACTTTCTCGCATTACTACCGTTATTCCTGGAACAGATGAGTCAATTGGCAAGTTGGTTCAGCAACTTCACAAGTTAATAGATCTTCATGAGGTAAGGGGTGGTGAACTTAACGTGATAAAAATCCTATTTCTGAGCATCCCATTTCAGCAACTACACAGTCTCAATAAAAAGGAAAAAAATGAAAATGAACACCAAGTGGCCTCGAAATCACATGGAAGTTGGAAGTGCTATTATTTTTATGTGGCAATCAGTATTTTCTCGAAAGTGTTCGGGAGCCAGATGCATTCCACTCTGCTATGAAACAATATTAGGTTATACATGTTGAGGACCTGGATAATTAAATTTAGAATCTAAAGCAATTGTATTATAATTTTAGAGGGATGCGATGGTCTCAGGGAAGAATCTTGTTTTTGTCCGGAAAATTAGTTCACTTCCATAAATCTTTTTTGAAGAATTTCGTAATCTTGAAGAACAAAGTTTTATACATGCTCTTTGCACTTGAATATTAATTTTCCTTTTACCCCTTGACAGAGATTTGCTAAAATTAGGGAAAACATCAGAGAACAATAGAATTTTTTCGATTTTTAAATTTTGAAGTAATGATCTGTTCTCGCAATGGTTTTTGTGAACTTTTGAATAGATTACAAAATGGATGACAAAGAAGTGGTTTTTTATTCAGGTTCACGATATTACTCACTCGCCATTTGCAGAACGAGAATTGATGCTAATAAAGATAGCTGCAAATAGTGTTGCTAGGAGGGATGTTCTTGATATTGCTAGAATATTTCGGGCAAAAGCTGTTGACGTCTCTGATCACACAATTACTCTTGAGGTAAATTTCTTCCCTCTTAACCAACCAAATCTCACATTTAGCAGTTTCATACACTCTGACACTTAATTGTATTTCTGTTCTCAAGAAAAAATTCAAACTTACTGTAGATTATTTAGACATTAACCAATATCAGGATAGGATTTGGCAAGTCCTACCTGTTGTCTAGTAAAACAAAGATTATATACACAAATAGAGTCTGCATCAACTTTGGTTGATCTATCGATCACAAGCACTCTTCCTAGCACCTCAACTTATGTTCGCATTTTGTTTTTTGCGTGAGGTAATTAGAAAAGCATTATTTTTAGGCAAGGGCTGGCAAACTGAAGTATCGGTTGGTTGGTCACTTAAGATCTTTTGATGAAGGTCTAGGGACAACAAGGAATCAGTGGATGTGTGGCGCTCGAAAATACCTGCTGAAATTTAATTAGACCGGTATTTGGGATTTATTTAATGGTGTCCCAACTTGCAAATTTGTTAAGAGTATTGCACCCTCAAATACCATTTTACATTATCCTAGTATTTGAGCAAATCGTGGTTTCTTTGCATGAAATTTTTGTTTTGAAAAATCTACTTCCATGGAGAATTAGACTACTTTGTATTTTGGTTACATAAGGCCGAGCTGGCCATAGTTACCTAATGTTCATCTGCTTCTTGTCGGAACGGCACTGGTCAGGTTTCCTTGTCATGGAAAAAAATGTAAGATCTCTGAAGCGTTGAAAAAGATCAACATTTCGTATTTCTTGGCTTCCCAAATTTGACTATTTGAGCAATTTTTGCACAAAATAGTTATTGAGTCCACCAGCAGCATCGTAATCACGCGAATCAAATCTCGAGTGCTGTTTATTTTGAGTTCAAATTGGCTAGCTGTTGCCGTCAACTTCTTGTTGTTAAAGAGCTCTGAAGGAGTGTGAACTGGGTATGCCAAGATAAACATCGGCATTATTCTTGTTACTTGAACAAAATCAATTAGTTAACAACTTGATATGCCGCATTACTCTGGTTACTTGCACTTTCCCAAAATTTAGTCTAGCAACTGAGTCCATTTCTTTTTGCATTAAAATCAAGTCAGAGTGTTGCACTAAGGATGCCTTTTATTGCACGCTATTCAGGAGCTTCACATTTATTTCTATGACAGTGTTAGCCTCCTTCCATTAGTTTTCTCCAACTCCTGTTATATGTCCTGGTTGTTACTAATGCTCTAGCTATTTGAATCTATTTCAGCTTACAGGTGATTTTAGTAGGATGGTTGCTCTGCAGAGAACATTGGAGCCATATGGAATTTGTGAGGTCTGTCTTCTGATTCTTCGTTTACATGTTTTTGCCTGATTGTTGCTGGACTTGGTTGATTTCACAAGTCGCTGAAACTTTTGGATTTTTTCCATGATCCATCCGGCAGTCCCATTGTGGACTGGCCTCTTCGTAATTGTTTAGACTAAATGTTTTCAACCTGTTGATTTTAAGTTGCCACTAGTTCAACATGGTAACAACTATGTTGTCTTTGGAGCTATTTTGCTTATAACAGTTGTTTCATTGAGGGTGGTTTAGTCTGCAATTGTATCGGATTTTAATCCAATAGTAATCGAATTTAACTGGTTGCAAGAATTCAGTTTCATTCGTGAAATTCAATTTTCTTATCTTGTTTCCATCGTATAATTTAGAGTACTTCCTTTCTTTCTTGAAGGTGGCACGGACTGGGAGGGTAGCATTGGTGCGAGAGTCAGGCGTGGATTCCACGTATCTCCGTGGATTTCCTCTTCCATTCTAATATTTAACTCTTTATAGCTTCTTATCAAATCTAGATTATCTCAACTTGAGTTCTTTTCCCACGTTGCTATGGTGGTTTCCTTCTCCAGTGCCCCCTTCTCCAGATGGGAAATGGAAGGAAACAAAACCGAAGTTGCCCACATTCTGGGGCTGTTGAAGAGAGAGATCAACCGGCATGTCGGGGTTCAGGTAGAAACGGTGCTTTAGCTAGAGGAAGTAATAAAATTCTTGTTTTTATTTGCCTCAAGTAAAAAGAATGGTTTGTCCATTGTACAAACGAGTTAAGAGGAATGTACCTGCTGTCAACACTTGAATTAGCAATTACTATGTAGTGCCTCCGTATTTTCTTGCCACAATTGGATTAACAACTACAATAGAAGAATGATTAGATAATAATAATAATAATAAAAAGTTGCAAATAAGAAATAGGCATATGCAGATACATAGGGCAAATGCATATTTGTGCGTGCTAACTATAATATCATTACAGCTGGAAAACGTGATGCATAATGGCCCTTTTTATCTAGTATCTACAGAAACTCTATATTCAAGTCCTGTTTTCTTGGAACTACATGAAATGTAAAACCCCTTATTCTCCCAAAATTTTCCAAAAGGCAAATACAAGCATCTTTAATATGCTGTGTGATTATCGTTATGAGGCCGTGGAAACATCGTGCCTCATGGCTGCCAACTAGGTATTTCTTCTTTTTTAAGGGTTGGCCAGTATCTTTAGGATAGTTTTTATTCAATGCGATTTAGTTATCTCTATGTTTCAGGTTAAAAACAGGTTGCTCATGCTTAGGATTAAGGTGTTCATGAGAATTTTACTTGCTTCTCATAACCTGGATTGATTTTTTTAACTCTGGCGACTTTGGATGGAAAACACCCCGCTAAACACTCGTGGTTTCCCATTAAAATCAGCTAAATCAGCTTCTAAATATCTCCGTTTCGATGGCCCTGAAAAACCCGACTTTGTCTCGTGCTTGTTCAAAGTCCCATAGTTTCTTTCAAGCCTAGATATCAAAAAGCGTCAGAAGATTGCGAAGAGTTCTTTTGTACGCTCCTGATACGAACCTTTTGCCCAAAGTTTCGGATTTTCTTCTCGGAATGTGCTTTAGGACCAGATACGCAAAAAGAAGTTGAATCTTTCGACCTAAGCACAAGACAGCCAAGAAAGAAGGGTGAAGCAGATATGGTAAAATGGTTCTGCAGATAAGATCCTGTCAAGGAGATTGATGTTTGGCTCCAAGATGAGCCTCTCAGGAAAATACGACGATGGCAATTTAGAACATTGCTTTCAATTCTTTCTTCCTTTTCTTTCTCTCTCTTGTTTTGGCCTTTCGAAGAAATTCCTTGAATTAAAATGCTTTTCTTTAATAAGTTGATCTCCTATCATCAGGCTATTGATTATTGCTCCCTTACCGCTAATGAATTCAGTCGTTGTCTCATTGTTTTCAAGTTACATATCTCCGTTGGTAATTTTACTTTTCAAGCTTGATATAGATGCAAAGAATGATATTACTCTTCCTCAAGGTGACAAAGGATCTAACAAGCAAGTTCATTTACAGACTCTAAACATCCAACAAGGAAATTGTACAGGTAAGAGAAGCAATGAACCAGATTTTATGATAATAAGAGAGCAGTATATATACAGTAGGTGTTTCAACCAAAGCAGATGCTTCAAATGGTACAAATATAGTAACAAACACCAAGTCTATGCTATATGATTACAGTCACTAAGTAAAATATATTAAGGCGGGCGCCAATTTATGGCTCAAACTCTATCTATCGAGCTCAAAACCTCTGTTCTTCATTCAACTTCCTTTGTTGCTTCGGCAACAATAAGTTCATCTGGGAAATCAATGTCGCCTGTATCAGATGGCAACATAATATCATCGTCAGTTGTGAAATGATATCTCTCCCCAATAGCCCTGAGGAGCTGATGCACCTCAAACATTGTTGGCCTCTGCTTAGCATTCTCAACCACACAGTTACAAGCAACCTTAAGAAATTGGTTGAGTTCGGGGTCGAAACCATTTCCAAGCAAAGGCTTGTCAATGGAAGTATGAAGAAGAGGACCATCTGACAGTTGTCTGATCCACTCCACTAAACTTCCCTTGAAGCTTTCAGGGGCATTAGCAACATGAGTGGGTTTTTCACCAGTAATCAACTCCAGGAGAACTACACCAAAGCTATAAACATCCCCCTTCGGTGTTGCAACAAGGGTCCGTAGATATTCAGGAGCAACATAACCCAAATCCCCAAACTCCCCATTGACGAAAGTGCTCAAATGCGTGTCGATTGGGTTCATGAGTCTGGCAAGGCCAAAATCAGATAGCTTTGGCTCAAAATCGTCATCCAAAAGTATGCACTTAGAGCTTATGTTCCTGTGGATAATTCGTGGATTGCAGTTATGATGAAGCCATGCCAAACCTCTAGCTGCTCCAATTGCAATTTTGAGCCTCAGGGGCCAATCCATGTTCCTGATCTCAGGTTCCGCTGGATGCAGTTTATCATAAAGGGTTCCATTTTCCATGAATTTATACACCAAAAATCTTTCCTTCTTTGCCACACAAAAGCCCAGCAGTGGGACCAAATTATGGTGTTTCACATTCCCAAGTGTATTCATCTCTGATACAAATTCTTTCTCCAAACGCTGAGAGTCTTGCAATCTCTTAACCATAAGGAAGCAACCATCAGAAATCACTGCCTTGTACATTGGCCCCGTTCTTGCTGCTCCAATGATGTTGTTATTGCTGAAATCGTTGGTTGCCTTCATGAGATCACTCAATCTCATTTTTGAAACCGACTTCTCAAACATGGAAACCTGTTGATAACAGAATCTTTGCTATCAGATATTTTGTTTCGTCAACTTAAAAATGATATCGTTGATAAGTAAACATAATCAGAAAAAGATCAGAAAGTTAATTCCTATGCCAGCTAAAACCCATTTTATCCGATGAAAATGATGAGTTAGACAACTTGCCTTGATGCCTTTGGTTCCCTTGATGCTCTTTGCCCATCTGTTACCTTCAGGATCATCTGCCTTCTTCTTAGCCACTCTGCGAGACAAATAGTACAGAAAGATACCAACAATAATTGATGTAAATGTTATCCCACCAGCGGCTGCTGCAGCAATTACTCCAAGATGGGACTTCCTCCGGCTGTCTGGACAGGATTTCAATGGCTTTCCACAGAGGTCCAGATTATTTGCGAAGCTCTCAGCAGGGATGCTAGCATGGAAAAATGTGGGGATTGGCCCTGATAGGAGATTGTTGGTGACAGTAAATACCTTGATACGACCAAGCTGGCCAAATTGCGGTGGAATGTTGCCTGTTAGCCGGTTGTTGTCAAGTTTGAGATCATTCAAGAAAGAACAATTTGCTAAATTAAGTGGAATTTCCCCCGAAAAATTGTTGAATGAGAGATCAAGGTTTGTCACAAAGGGAATGAACTGTGATATAGTAGTAGGGATTGAGCCAGACAGCGTGTTGTGCGAAAGATCCAAGCCAGTCAAGCTTGTGCAGTTCTTGATGCCAAGGGGGAACTTGCCCTTAAGACCCAAGTCTGAAAGGCGGATATTTAGAACTCTGTTCTCATCAGGATGCCAGCATTCAACACCCATAAATCTACATATGAAGCCTTCAGTATTGTTGTTGAAATCCCATGTAGTGTTCAAGTAGTTGTTAGGGTCCACCAGAGAAGCTTTGATGGATTTCAAGCACGCTATATCAGTCTCGGTAGCATTACTCACAGTTATGCTACTACTCAGCAACACCAAAACCATCCAAATCAAAATATGGGCAACAACCATAGGGTTTTTCTCACTCAATGCCATTAGCAACGTAAACAACAAATCCTCAAACTCTGTCCAAAACACCCCCAAAAAAAAAATCTAAGAAGTGAAGGGTTCTCACTAAATTGGACCCTAAATAAGACACTAAATCCACAAAAGTTAACCCTATCTGCTCATAACCCAAGAAAGAAAGTCAACTTCTAGACCAAAAACAAAATCCAATGTAACTTGTAATCCACCAGAAGGACATGGAACTTCAAAAAAGCAGAAGAAAAGTCAACAAACAAACAACGTCTAATCTTAAACAATCCAACTAAAACTCCAATTCAATTATCTCGATGATGCATTGAAAGAAAACAAGATTTGAGACATACCCAGATGGTGACGACGACGACGACGACGAAACGGAAGTGGGGAGCATATAAGTAGTCACCAAGCTGCAACAGACATGCAAGAAAAATGAGAAAATAAATGGAGAGAAAGGGCACTGTTATTACACTGAAAACGTAGGGAAAGGGTTGAGCCGAGTTGATTTGAACAGAAGAAAGAGGTAGGAAACATCATTTTTTTCTCTTCAAAGAAGACTCTCTTTAATGTGCAAGTCTCCTCTGCTTTCCAACAACCCAAAACACACACAAGAGTCCTAAGTGGAAAGGAGGATGGAAGAAAAGTCTTTAGGTTTGAAAATTCAGAGCCAATGAGAGACAAAAACTGTTGTGTAAGAACGACTAAAAGAAAAAAAAAAAAATAAAAACAAGAAAACAAGTGTGATCTGTGGAAACTGGTTACTAGCGGTAATGAATTGACTGTTTGACTTGAAAGGAAACCATAGTGTAATAACATGCATACATACATAGAAACACATACATAACCAAAAAAAAAAAAAATACTTTCTTTTGTTGCTTTTGCAGATTGCTTGCATGATGGGTTGGTCATCATCTCGCATAAAAACAACTGTTTGTGTTAAACATGAAGCTGGGAAGTCCGTCTGGGTCAGGCAATTTGCAATTTGTGTTGACTCAGTCTTTCCCCTTTAGTCAAGCCATTCGTTTCCTTTTCACACTCATTCATCTCGCTACAGTTTTTTTTTTTTGTTGCTGGGTTCACATTGAGCAGAGGGATATGAGTCTTTAGGCCAATCCCTGTCATTTGGTAAATTTAATGGCAATCAAGTATCAGATAACAATAATTACTTTACAGGAAAGAAATAGACCCCAAAAAAAATTGAGAAATAAGGAAATAGAATTTGAACGGAAATATTCTTCTCCATTTGATATTCACACCAGTCATAACCTTCTGCCATTATTGAATTTCTTTGCTTATTTTCCTTTTTAGATATTCTTGCTTTTTAACAAAAAAAAAAAACTCCTGTGATGCTTAAATCACAGGATTCTAATTAAAGTCACGATAAATATAATATAAAATGAAAAAAGAAATTTCTTGTAACAAGCAGCATTACTTTACTTTCAAATGTTTGCCTGGAAGTTTTGAATTTCTATGTTAGCTTAATTTTTTTTCTTAAATTTTTTTTCTTTTTCTTTTGTGTTTATCTTTTTTTTAAAAAACGGATTCAAGATTATAAAATTTCTCGTAAATATAAATTAGTATCAAAACAAAAAATTTCAATAAATACATTATTAGGTGAATAGTTATTTTACTTCAAAGAAGACATTTATTATTTATGTTGTTGAAAGATACAAAAATCAATGTAGTTTTAGATTTTATATCGGTTTTGATAAAACACTTTTGTCAATTTGAATGAGAATATCTAACATAAGAATATATTGAAAAATTATCCAATAAATTGGAAGTAATGCTTGTTCAATTACTTAATCTTTAGTCCAATGACTCACAGAGCTGCTTATAAAAATATTTTTAACTTGATAATCTATGCACCATCATCAACCCACATCATCAAATTAGGACGTTAATTTCATATTTTTTCTAATAAACTTACTTATTTTAATTAACTATTATGATTTTCATTACTAAGTAACGAATTTTTGAGTCTATATTCTAATATTGAGATTCTAATCATAGTTTTAAATAATAGATGCGATTGTAAAAATGATCACGATGATGGATCATGACTTATTACGATAGTAAAATAACAATTATAGTAATTAATATTGTAAATACATTAATAACGAGTTGACAAATTTATTTTAATTTATATATTAATAAAAATTTTACCAATAAAAAATGATAATATATAAAATAGTTTAATATCATTCAACAATAGATGAATTTGTTAAAAAAAAAGAGTAAAACTTCTAATAATTTAATATCACGTAAATAATAGTAAAATACAAAGAATCAGATTTTTTGATTTTTTTAATACGACAATATCATCAATAATTACTGTTATATAATGCTAATATTTGTGTGAGACAACTATAAAATCTCTATAATGATTGTTATTTCCATCAAACTATGGTTCTAGCATTGAATTTATTTCAAAAAAAAAAAAAAACAGAGTAAAACTTCTAATAATGTAATACCACGTAAATAATAGTAAAATACAAAGAATAATTTTTTTTTTAATACGCCAATATCATCAATAATTACTGTTATATAATGCTAATATTTGTGTGAAACAACTATAAAATCTCTATAATTATTGTTATTTCAATCAAACTATGGTTCCAGCTGTCTTTTCTTTGCGGTAATCATGGCATCGACTGGCATTTTCAGTCATTGGTTCCGTATTTATTCTTGGTATAAATAAACTGTGATAAACATCAAATACATCATCAAACTATTCGAGCATTATCAGTTTTACATCAAAACTATTTTCTAGATCGAATTTACTACAAAATTATGTTAGAATCACTAAAAATTCAAATTTCATACAAAATAAAATCGTTTTTGACAAAAAAAAATGTTATAATTTGTATGAAAAATATAGGTGGAAAGTTTTAAAAATAGATGAAAGTTATTAATTTAGATTTTTTGAAATTTTAATGATAAAATTGATAAAAAAATTACTTGATGGTAGCATTAAGAATATTTATATAGTTGGATGATATTTTTAAAGTCTATTAAAAACTGTAAAGAAAAAATCTTGGGATAATTACCGGAAAAGCTTTTTAAAAAAATCTTATATCCAAATAACTCATAAATTTATTTTTAAATCTCTCGGACCCAAAATAATATTTTTCTTACCAAAATACTCAATAGTTAACCTCCAACTTAACACTAGTTAACTATTGGATCTTTTGGTAAGATAATTTATTATTATTATTATTATTATTAGGTTTGAGAGGTTTAAAAGATAAATTGATGAATTTTTTAGATAAATTTTTTTTAAACACTAACATTTGACTCTTTTTTTTTATATTATTATTATACTAAAAAATTTCTTATATTATAGTTTTTTTTTCTATCAATCGTTTATTTCATTAATTACGAGATTAATTTTACTATCTAGTAACTATAGCAATCAATGCAATTTAATTAATTAATATTGATAAAATGAGACTCTTGTTATTCTTTTGTAATTTAATCAAAAGGTTATCATACAAATAAGAATATGTATGATTATAAACATTAGTGATTTCCCGAATCCTAATATATTGAAAGAAAAAAATATAATTGGTAATACTAGTTTTTAATTAATCAAAACTCAACATTTGTTATCAACCAATTAAATTAAATTACAAGATGAATGTATAACATATTTTGGTGCATTGATTAAATAAAATATGATCATCCATGATACAAATACATATATTAAAGATAATGATTTCATTTAAATTAGGGATAGTTACCAAAACAGCTTTTAAAAAATCTTCTATCTAAAAAATTCACTATTTTATTTTTAAATCTCTCAAACATAAAATAATATTTTTAAATCTCACAAGCCTAAAATAATATTTTTCTTACCAAAACAACCAATAGTTAGCACTATTTTTCTTACCAAAACAACCAATAGTTAACACTTATGTTAACTATTGGTTGTTTTGGTAAGAAAAATATTATTTTAGGTTTAAGAGATTTAAAAATAAATTTATAGAATTTTTAGATATAAGATTTTTTTTATAAGGTTTTTTTGGTTATTATCCCAAAAATCTTTGTCAAACTAATTTATTAAATGTATCTTCTTTCTCTCTCTCTCTCTCTCTTCGCTAATAACGGACAGTTTGTCTCTTTATTTTTTCTTTGAGATAGTGAAATATTAAATGTCTAAACTTTTTTTAATTTTCACAATTGGATTTCTCAAGTTTAGTTATGTCTTCTCTTTCCTTTTATTTTCTCAACAATTCTTCCCATAACTTTATTAAACCTTCCATTTTTCAGAAACGAAATTCCCATATTACTCAGTTTTAGTTAAACGAAATGCCTTTTTTTTTTTTTTTTTTTTTTCGACAACAGAGACAAGGGCACAAGGCCCCGGCCTCAAGTTATATTGGGCTGTAAACCTTATTTAGAGCTATCATACAGTTGCTATGGTTTAAGCTTACGGACCTTCGTAACTTTTACAAAAGGGTCTGGAAACTGAAGCAGCACGGTATTCGTATGAGCAATCTAGCATTCATTTAGATGAAACATTTGCCATTTGAGTTGCCATACACGAGTGTCAAATGCAGAAATATAGAAACTCTTTCAAGGCAGTGAAAATAAAATCATGGGCAACATAACTTTATGTATCTCAGAAAAAAAAAGTAGCCTGAAATGGAGGGACATGTTTGATTCTCATTACATGACCATTTTGATCATTATATATATATATATATATAGAAAATGCTACCCAGAAGCAACACGAACAACCTTCTTACCCACATTACGACCATGGAAAATTCCAACCAGAGCAGATGAAGCATTTTCTAGGCCTTCAGCTATGTCTTCAACATAGACTAACTTCCTTTCCTGCAACTGCCTGATTGCTAACTCAAGATATTGTGGATATATGCTCTTGAAGTCCGTTTCGACAAAGCCCTTTATCTCAAGGCTTTTTACGACCACATTAAACATATTGTGTATGCCTTCAGGTTCATCAAGATTGTATTGAGAAATCATTCCACAGGCTGCAATCCTTCCAT